GTGAACATTGGAGAAGTGCCCCAAAATCCACGAGTCAACAATAAATACAAGGGGGGAAGGGTATAAGGGGACTACATGGTAATGGAATAAAATACAATAAAGATTAAATTAAAAATACCTTAATTCAATTATTTCCCCATGCCCTCACTTAAAAATTCCTGTTCTTCTCATGTCCTCTGATTATATAAATGAAGTTGCCACCTTTCTTTACTGGATCTCCTTTAATCAGGTCATCAATTTCATAACTTCTACCTGGAGTACTCTTTGTATGAGCCTTCACCATCCTCTTTGTTACTACTCTCATCTGTCCCCTCATGGTATTGGTTCCCTAATAGGGCTTGCTGCCTCTGGCCCCCACCTCTCTCTCTACATTCTCTACAAGGCCACCAGTGTGATCCTTACAAAGCCCAGTTCTCCTCATGGCACTGTCCTCCCCACAACACCCCCCCCCCCGCAACACACACAAAAAAACACAGCAGAAGTTCCAATGCTTATTGCAGTGCTTTCCAAACCTTGTTGTTTCCATGAGGATGTCCACGGTCCCTTTCCATCCATATAATTATTTAATGTTTTTCTCTAATTCAACTAATTTGTCTTACTGCCAACTTTAACCTCTTCTAAGCAAGAATATTTATGATCTCATAGTTTTGGCATTATAGCTGTTATATTTTCTACCATGTGTTAAAATTACATAACAATTTTTTTAAGTTAAGTCATGTTGTATATCACTAGTGGTATATTTTGAGAACCCTGGGGGGATCAAATAAGGGTTAAATTCTTAAAGCTGGCATTCAAAGCCATCCCTGATCTGATCCCAGCCTAATTTCCAGTTGTAATTTTCACGCAGCCCACACACAGAGAGTGCTCCAAGTACAGTGTCCACTTGTTATTCCAGACACACTGTTTTCGCTCTTCCCTTAGCATTTTGTATTTTCCCTTAGGGTCTTCTAAAACTTAAGGCTCATCTCAATCATCAATTACATTGTGAAATCTCTGATTCTTTCAGACAGAATCATCAACTTTGGTCTGTTTCTTTCTTTTCTTTTTTTAAAGAATGTTTTCTTACTCTATGCTTCTAGCTACTTATATTGTAACAGGAGACAATATAATTTTGTCTTCTAATCTTTTATTTGATGATTTACTTTACCATAACATTCAGAAGTATATCATGCAGAATCCTTGGAGGAAAGAGTTTGCACACCCGAATGGGGAATTGAGGAGAATATAATGAAAGGTCTGTTCATAAAGGTGTGGCCAGTGTGAAGAAGTATCTGCGAGAGTGGTAAAGCATTCTGAGTTTGGCATCAGTGGGGAGCTACTACAGGTGGTAATTCCTAGGCCTGAAAGGTCAAGGGAAGGAAGAGTTGCAAGGACCCACAGAGCGCTATAACTGTAGCTGTAGTTGAAGGAGAAGGCCACTCAACAGGGCCTGTGGCCTCTAGTTGCCATATGAGTGAGTCCAGGAGAGAGAACAGAATTGCTAATTCAACCCACAGAATCATGAGAAATTTGTTATTTGTTTTAAACCATCAAGTTTTTATATATTTTGTTATGCAACAATAAATAACTGATACATCAACAGGGATGTGAACCCATAACTGTTTCTCCACCAAAGCTGTGGAAAACCAAGAATACTTGAAGACCTGTGCCATGCAACCCATAATTTTAATGCAAAAATAGTAAAAGTAGTAAAAATGTTTTCACTTTTCATAGAGATACTTAAAACAGTTTTCTGGGAGCATTTCATCTTATTTTGTCTCAGTTGTCTGAGACATAACAATATATAATGCTGTTACTAGAAATGTTATTCCAAGTCCATTTACCTAAAGTTGGGATAATTTGCTTCCTTTATTTGATCCTATATTGGTGATCTTTATATATATCTATAGATATATCTATATATCTATATATCTATATATATATCTATGATATTTAGGAAGTAACCATTTAGGCATTACTTTTTTAGGTGTTTGATATTTAATAAACAAATATCTTGGTCCTGAGATTGTAGAGTGGTTCATTAAACATTTATTCCTAGTTCCCCTTTTTCCCTTCCTTCACTATAGAGGGTAGAAAATAAAAATGCTAAAATTTCCAGGCTCCCTTGCTGCTAGAGATGACCACATGATACAGTTTTATTCAAGGAGATAGATGTAGCTGGAAATCTGCTGAGATCTCTTGTTTAGTAAGCTACAAGAGGAGAAAACCTTTTGTATTAGTCCTTTTGCTTTCTTCCTGACTAAAAGCAAGAGACTTGGAATGAGGATGGTTAATAAAGAGACTATTTACAAAGATGTGAGCAGGGCATAGAGAAACCACAAGGGTAGAACAGTACCCCAGGATGAGTATCAGAGAGGCTGTTACCATGGTAGGCTTGAGGGGTAAGGAGAGGGAGTTACTAGAAGCAGAATAAAAGAGCTGTGTTGGGGGCGTAATGTGCCTTGAGAGATGCTGTGTCACAACCTTTAGTGGGGGACATAGACACTGTCCTCCCTCCATTTGATCTCCTATGAGTGCTCCCCTGTGACTGAACCCCATTGGGATTTAGGGGGCAAGGTCTGCCCCTTGGACACAAATCTGGCTAGGAAAGAGTAGAGAGACAAACAGTGTATAAGGCATCTCTTATGTATCTTTATATCCCTGCTGTGTAACATGTAGTAAGAGTGCCTGGTTCAAAGTAGAAGATGAATAAGTTTTTACTGAATTTAATTGAATCCAGTTCTTTGTTCTGTCTTACAATACTTAAGACCCAATCTGGAATCACCACCAACCTCACTCAGGCCTAGTTACCACCAAAACTGCTAATCTTCAAAGAACTTCTTTTACTCTATAGAAAAAGTATTTTGGGGTTTCTTTCTGAGGCCAGATTAAGAAATGGCTTTTTGAAACAGCTTTCATAAATCTGGATTTTTTAAGAGAATTAGATGGTTCTGTAGTTTTACAAAGACTGCCCTCTGGTATAATTCAATTCTTAAATACCTACTTCACCAAGGCATTCCAGGAGAAATAACTTCGGTGTGCTACTTGTATGACTCTCAATTCCCACATTTGTAACCTAAGAGCTAACCATCATTCAAGTCTCAGGTACAAATGTCACTTTCTCAGGCTTTCTAGGATATCACATAAAAAAAAAAAAGAGGAATGTCACAGCCCAAGTTACCTCCATTAATATCTTGGTTTTTTCTCATTGCAGTTATAACTTTTTTGTTGTAACTTATTCATTGTTTATTTGTAGATTGTTGGTCTTCTCCCAAAAGAATACTTGCTCTTTGTAGAGCAAGGAATTTGTCTGTGTTGTTCCTTGCTCTTTTCCCAGCACTTGGAAGAGTGCCTGGGACATGGTGGTTGTTTGATAAATATTTATTTATGAATGAATGAATAATACCAATTATCAACCTTAGGGTTTTTGTGAATATTAAATGAATAACAATGAAATGCACCTGTTTTCTTTCCCTCACCTCCTGTATTCAATCCTTCAGCAAGTCTGCTTGCCCTCAGCCTCAAAACTTACTTCCAAGAAATCCCAGATTCTTACTTCATTCATCTCTACCATCTTCACCTTTCACGTGACTACAAGTAACAGTATGTAGCTGATCTCTCTACTTCCCCACTTGCTCTTATCCCCTTCAAACCCCAATCCATTCTCCATAGTGAGGGAGATTTTAAGAAACACAATTCAGCTCATGTCTTGCTTCAACTTAAACATCATCAACAGCTTTCTAGGTACTAGAATTAGCCCAAACTCCTTTTACATGGCCTGGTTCCTGCCATCCTCTTAGGCTTCATTTGCTTTAGGCTAACTGGTCTCTCTCTCTCTCTCTCTCTCTCTCCCTCCCTCCCTCCCTCCCTCCCTCCCTCCCTCCCTTCTAGAATTTTAAAAAATTATTTTTGTACAAATTGTCATGCCAGAATACTGACACTGAAGGATTCTTCTGTGGGAATCTTGTGCTAGCTGGCCCCCTATTGTCACTCAGACCTGAGTTTAAACAGGGCTTCCTTTGAGAGGAAATATCACTAATCTAAAATGATCATTTCTTGTTTTAAAAATTTTTATTTATTGACTTGAGAGAGAAGAAAGGGGGGTTAGGAGAGAAAGATTTGTTGTTCCACTTATTTGTGCACTCATTGGTTGATTCTTGCGTGTGCAGTGACCTGAGATCCAACGCAACTTTGGCATTTTTGGACAATGCTCTGATCATCTTAATTACCACACCAGGGCATAAAATGGTCATTTCTTATTATGCCACCTTTTGCACCTAATGCTACCTAGTATTTCCTTGTTTATGTGTTTGTCTCTTCCCAAATAGGTTTTAAGTTTCATGGATTCAGAGACCTTGTTTCTCATGTTCATCACTCTATTCTCAAAACTAAAGCAACGCCTTGAACATAAAGTATACACTTAGTAACTATTTGTTGAATAAATAAATGTGTTGATGATGATGTTGACAACGAAACCTCAGTCCTGGCCACAAATTCTAACAGTTTGCCCAAGAATAATAATTGCAGTTCCGAAGTTATGTTAGATCCTGGAAGACTGTGGAAACATGGCAGTAAAGATCTGGGGCTGAGGGCTGGGGAAAGCGTTGGGAATATATTAGAACTTTGGCCTTTTTTTCCCTATCCAAGGACCACACAGACCTTGCAGAAGGGAGGCCTAAAATCTTTTGACCAGAATGTTCAGGCCAGCCACAATGGGTATTTTCTATCAACGATTCTCTACAGCCACTTGGGCTAGGTTGCGAATGCGCAAACACCTCTAGGACCCCGGGTTCCTTTCTGTTTCTTTATGAATGAACCGGCTCCAGTCTGCGCACGCGCAGCTTCTCGTTCTCCCGCTACACGTGAGGCCCACCCTTTCCACCGGCTGGTGGCCCCACCCTAATCCTTTCTAATAGACCAATGGCAAGCGGCCTGGGGGGCGGAGCCCGGAGCAGCGCGGCACTGTAGTTCTTCTAGAGCGCCGCTCCCCTGCTTTAGTCTTGCAGTGTTGTGATCACGTGGTGAGCTGCGGGCGCGGCGCTTGTTTTGGTTTCTCTCTAGCTTGCCCTGGCAGCTTAGGGTGAACGCTTTTTTGTGCCGGTTGCTGCACCTATCTGCACTGTGGCCTCCTCTTCTTAGGGCTTTCTCAGCTCGCAGTTCGACAAGCCCTTCGGGGCCGGTTCCTGCCATGCCGCTAGTCCGCTATAGGAAGGTGGTCATCCTCGGGTACCGCTCTGTAGGTGAGTCTCCGCCCTGGGGAGAGCATGGAGGCACCGCCGCTTTGTGGCCAGAGGAGGCGCGCTGTCTCAGGAACGCGACCCAGGAGGAATGGTGGCATCGTTAGAATGGAGATACAGAACGAGGATTGAAAGGATGTTGGAGGAAAACCTGGGGTGGTGGTAGTGTGTGGAGGGCTGCAGGAAGCGGAATATGTAAGAGTTAATGTGGACTTGGCTGCCGGAACACCGGAGTGGTTTCCAGTGTTACTCTGGGCGGTAGGGGTGGGGTCAGCGTTTGATGACAGGGCGCGGTATGTGTTGGGCAAGTCTCAGGTGTCCGGGTGTGGAGCAGATTTGATCTCAGGGAATCTCGGATCTTTCCGGAGGTGGGTGGGGAAAGACTTCCTGCGGGGCTACTGAATGCATTCAGTTGCCAAGATGCGGAGATCCAGGGCTGAAAGAGGGTGAGGGTAGGTTAAGAGAAAGCATCGCATGGGGCACTCACAAGCTAGGGTGCTAATTTGGGGTCCCCTTTACTACGGGGCCACAGCCCGAAAGGACAGAGAGTGTGAATGTGAATAGCTGATTTAGATACAACTACCACTGCTTCCCACAGGGAAGACATCTTTGGCACATCAATTTGTGGAGGGCGAGTTCTTGGAAGGCTATGATCCTACAGTGGAGAATAGTGAGTGGACTTCTCCCTAGGGATGGGTCAGGGAGGGCTTGGGTGTCCCACACACCTCCATAATGTGGGATTTTCCTGGTGCCAATGAATGATTTAAATATATATGAAATCTAATCTCTTCTCTAGCAATCCTATTCTATGAGTGAAGCTGGAGTGTGAATTATGCAAGATACTGAGTCCAGGATGGTGTAGATGTAGACAATAAGATCCTTAACATTGTCTCTCCAGTTTCCTGGAGAGCTCCCTGGACCTGGTCCATCTATGTCGCTCTCCCAGGGTTAAGAATGTATCAGGGCATATATCACTAGCCTTACAAGGCACTCACAGTCAAATTTTCTTTTCTTTTCAGCTTACAGCAAGATAGTCACTCTTGGAAAAGATGAGTTTCACCTACACCTGGTGGACACAGCAGGGCAGGTACTAGTTTGGATTAGGGTATCTAAATGTGACAGTTCAGCCCTGGGGGATGAAGTCTGGTAGCCCCTGTGGCTCATCTGTAAAGTAGTATTAAAAGAAAAGCATTTTAGCACCTAGTGGTATGTAGCACTCATTGGAGCTACTCCATAAATACTTGTTGAATAAAAGCGACTGGAATTGGGAGTGCCCAGGGAGGGTACCCAGGATGCAGCCTACCAACCTTTGACATCTGAGTGTTATGGATCTAGACATTGGTGTTTCTATTTCTTGTCAGGATGAGTACAGCATTCTTCCCTATTCATTCATCATTGGGGTCCATGGTTATGTGCTTGTGTATTCTGTCACCTCTCTGCATAGGTAAGTGACCAAGGTTGTAAGTGGGGGACTTGCGAGGATCTGAGGATTGTCCCAGAATAAAGTTATAGCTCCATTTCTTGTGTTTAAAGCTTCCAAGTCATTGAGAGTCTGTACCAAAAACTACATGAAGGCCATGGGAAAACCCGGTAAGTAGGCCTAGTGCAGAGACCGAGTGTGGACACTACTGCATGGGAGCTAACAGAGAGGACTATTGGCTTTAGTTAGGGAGGAGGCTGGGATGTAGATCTTGTCTGGTTTGTTGGGGAATTGTCCAGCCCTGATGTGAAGAATGTTGGGGTCCACGGGCAGTTGGAAGGGATCCTAGAGTAACTGCTCTTTTCTCACAGGCTGCCGGTGGTGCTAGTGGGAAACAAGGCAGATCTCTCTCCAGACAGGTATGGAAATCTGTACAGCTCAAGGCAAAGGAAAGTGAGCTGGACTAGAAATCAGGCATGCTCCAGTTTTGGCTCTGCCACTGACTTGAACCAGTCATTTCATCACTTTTTGTTTCTAACTTGAAAGTTGAAACAAGATAACTTTTCTGTTGCAAAAGCTATAATTTCATATTTCAAGCCTCACTTCCAGGCTTCTGTGTTTTACTTATATTTTCTCCTTTCCCAACCCTCCATCTAAACTTTGGAAGTGGGATGGGTTAGAATAAGTCCAGATTCTATAAAGATTTTGCAGAGAACATGAGGGCATTACTGTCCTCCATCTTCATATCCCAAATTTGGTTCTAGGGAGGTGCAGGCAATCGAAGGGAAGAAGCTGGCAGAGTCCTGGGGTGCAACATTTATGGAGTCATCTGCTCGAGAAAGTCAGGTGCTGGGCCTGAAAATTAGGGAGATGATGGGGTTGGCAGTATTTTTCTTATGGAATTGCTTGGTGTTGGGGATGGTGGAGGAGTGGGGTATTCACCTCAGAACTGGATGGTATTATTGGCAGTGAACTCACTGACATTTTTGCCCTGAATCTCTATCCCATGCAGTTGACTCAAGGCATCTTCACCAAAGTCATCCAGGAGATTGCCCGTGTGGAGAATTCCTATGGGCAAGAGCGCCGCTGCAGTCTCATGTGAGCCCTCAGGCATGGTGTAGCTGCTGGGATTCTTCCCCTGGCACTTACCAGGCTCCAATGGGGGCAGGTTCTCAGGACTTCACGGGTATGGTTGCCAGCTGTGTCCCTGGTCCTTTGGGCACACAGTATGGTACCCTCATGTTTGCACACTTTCCCCAGGCTCCAGTGGCCTGGTTGTCAATGTTTACAAAAGGGGCAAGAATGTCTCATGGGCACTGGCCTCTGTTTTTGCTAAATGAATTCTTATAACCTGCAGGGTTGCGATATGAGTCCTGGGAATTGTTTATTCAGGACCCAGTCTCCTATGTAGGTTTTGGATATTGTTTGGGTGAAGGGAGCTGGGGACTCCAGAAGTGGAGCTGGCTCCCTGGGGTGAGAATGTATATATGCAAATAAACTGAGAAATCTTTTTGTTGTTGACTTCTCTGTTTCAAATATCACATTGACAAATAAGATATTGTGTCACCAGTATCTTATTGGGAAGAGCTCAGGGCCACTGTCTCCTTTTTCAAGGATTGATGACTATGGTCTTTGGTGGGGAATCGGGGCTAATTTCTTTCCAACTACCTCATTCCAATTCCTTAGTCATTCAGAACCATCACCTTAAGACTTACTACTTGCATTTCCCAGCTTTCGGTTTCTACTGGGTTCTCCCTAATACAGGTACCACCAGTTGGCTGCCACTCCCATCCAAGTTCATAGGTTCTCAAGAGCACGTTTACCACAGAAACACCACCCTCTAGTGGCCAGCTGCCACATGCTGACCTAGCTTCTCTCCTGGGCCTTGGCATTTTCTGGAACTCAGAGAGGGTAGGATTTGGGGAAGAGGAAGAAAGCCCCACATTCCTAATATTGTAAGAATTGAGAAGGAGTATGACTAAAGTGTTGTGAAGATTTTGTCCTTCTAAGAAAGTTAAGTAAGAAATAATGCCTTTGGTGTGTATTAACCCCCTGTGCCCCCATACCCACAGTGCCTTTCATTAAAATAGATTGTTATTTTTCTACCTTTGATGACCTTTTGATACCTTCTACACCTTTGGAGTTGTGCTCCGTTTTTTTAGGTGTCAAGGCTATAGCTTCTGCCCTTAATGACTCACCACTTCATTAGGAGGATGGATATATTTCAGCTAGGAAGGTTTGGTCCTACATACCTCTAGTTTTAGTGCTCCTCCCCCACTTCCCACCTGTCCTAGGGCCTAGTTGACCAATGCCTGCTGAGGAGTTACTTAAATGGTATCCTTCACAGGGAGGAGGGCATAGACTTCTGCCTACTGGGTAGACTAAGGTATTAGTTGGGGAGGATGGACAAAATCTAGGTGTGATTTTTAGCTCTGACCTTGATAGTGCCTGGCTCCAGGCTAGTTGGGCTTACAGTTGGGTATAATGGTTTGTCATGCCGGTTTGCAAAAGTTCTGCCAACTGCTTTTGCATCTCTGATCCACACGCTAAAGAGAAATAAGGGCTACTGGAAGAAGCATACTGCAAAGAGCAACCTTGGCTTATGAATCTCTTTAGGGTTGTTATCACCCTTTCTCTTTACATTAAATTAGGTCTTTTTGCACATCTCACCCAGAGTACTCATGACAGATACCCACCCTCCTGCTGCCATTTCCATGAGGCTTGATATAGACTTACAAATGCCTGAGATTTTCTAGAAGTGTATCAGGCAACCTCAAAACGTAGTAACAGTAAAGAATAGTGGTGAATGGTTGGGTTACTCTTTCACTTAGCTGTGGAATCTCGTGCAGTCACCTAACCTCTTTGAACCTCAGATTCTCATTTATGAAGTGTAGTTAAACCTTCTACATGAGGTTGAGGTGAGAATTAAACTGAGGTGATATATGGAATGTTTGGCAGTTTCTCATACATAATAAACACTTAAGAAATGGTAGCTATTGAGTTACTAGAGGTCTTTCTGGTGAGAGCCTGCCTTCCTGCCTTTGGGTGCAGATACTAGGGAGGTACCTTCCATTTTCCAACCTTTGCCTCTTGATTTATTATTTCCACTATAGCTGGGACAGGTGTTGGGCTGCTGCTGGAATTTTTTGCTGAAATAGACTTGAATGGTCCTTGAACAGCACATGATGTCAGTGCGTGGCTAGCACAGGACATGTCTAGTTTTAACCCCTCCAATGACTCTGGCCAGTAGAGATTTAGAGCTCCTGCACTGTCCAATACGGAAGCTACAAGTCATACATGGCTATTTAAGTTTAACTCAGTATTAAAATTAAAAAGTTCCTCAGTTGTATCACCTGCATTTCAAAGTGCTCAATAGCTGCATGTGGCCAAGTTATATTAGATACAGTAGCTACAGTGCATATTAGACAGTGTAGCTATAGTGCAATGCCATCATTGCAGGAAATCTTTTCCATAGCTCTCTAAACCCTTTCCCACAAACCTGGCCCTGCACCTGATTTGCCTGCCTTTCTCCACATCTTCCCTAAAAAAAAAAAAACAGTGTGTGTGTACATACACACACATACTCTCCTAGAAAGGCATGCAGTTGGTTGAATCATGACTATTTCTCACTAGATGTGGTTCGTTGGACAGTTGCTACCCACTTTAGCCTCAAATCTTATTAAGTATAATACAGGCATAATCCTACTTAATGCATAACGAGAGTGAGGAATAACTAAGAGTATATAAAGTACCGAGCACATAGTTAATTTGTCTCCTCCTGACCATCCCTTGGGTAGAGCTAAGACAGAAAAGGCATTCCATTTCTCATCCAGACGTATGGGGGCGGGGACGGGGGAAGCTTGCAACCAGTGTTTGGGATCTTGTTTAGAGTAACAGTACTCCAGCCAGGTAGCAGTCAGACTCCAAGGTAGAGCCCGTTTACCAAAATATAGGACACAGGCCCTGAAGATAGGAAGATAAAGACTGCAGGTGGGGGCACCCGGGAAAAGAAGGAAAACTACATTTGTGTTTTGATTGGGGCTGTGTGTGTGGTAATTTGGGGGCCAGTTCCTGACAGTCCTTTTCCTTCATGAGGGGGTTTGAAAGTCCAAAGCAACGACTCGTTCCGCTTTTCTTCGGGGCCCGAACGTGGCAAGAACCCACCCTTTGCAGCCCCAGACGCCGTGCCTCACTTTCTCCATTTGCGGACTCCAGTTCCCAGGATGCAGAGCAGCGGCCAATCTCCTGGCTCTTCTTCCATCCCCCCCCTCCCGGGAAAGATTGCCCCTGGTCAAGTCAAGGGGGCAGTTTCAGTTTCCGGGACCTGTAACTCCAAGGGAACGCAATTATAAAGTGGCTGAAGTCCTAGTTTCCAGAGCCGGGCGTTGAAGGAGACAGTTCCAGGACTGGGGGGAAGGGGAGGGGGGCTTCATTCCCACGTGTCTGCCCACCGCCGCCCCGGCGCCGTCGGGGTTAAAGCGTAGCGGAGGGATCCCGCAGCGTGTGCGTAGAACTGCAAAGTCACAGCCTTTCCTCCGAGAGGGCAGTATCCCTCCGCCGCTCCGCTCCAACACAAAATAGGGCCAGCCTTCTCCTTTCTCCCCTTCTCGAGTGGGGTTCCCTAGGCAAAAGGTCCCCGTCGGGCCTCGCACTGGAGGTTTCCTGAATCTCCACGACCGCTGCCGCGATCTCGGGCCAGGAAATAGACCCTTCGCAGGAACCACCCTACCGGCCGAACAGGAGGCGGAGGGGGGGAGGCGGAGCGGCGCCGCGCTGCACTACTTTCCTCTCCGGTTGCAAATGGCTGCCTCGTTCCCCACTTTCCGCTCAGTTTCCTGACCCCCCGGCGCCGGGAGCTGGGGTTGGGCCATGCACCTCTAGGCCCCCCGCGATCACAACCAGCCGGGGGTCGAGGGGGTGCCGCCGATCAGAGCCGGCCAAGCCGGGGGCGGGGCAGCTCCGGAGGCCAGAGGGGAAGGGAGGCGAGCTCAGGGCCTGGAGCGGCCGGAGGAGAGCGGGCAGAGGGCTCGCACCGCCCGCCCCTTCCTCTTCCTCGCCCACCTACCCTCCTCCCTTCCCCGGGGGGAGCAGAAGGTGGGGGGCTCGAAGCCGCCGAGGGCGAGCGCTCGGGGTCGAGGAACCCGGCGCTGGGTGTGTGTCAGGTTCAGCCCTGCGGCCCCGCCGTCTCCGTGTCGCCGTAGCTCGCGCGGCCCCGGGGCGCCGGCCCGGGCGGGGAGAGGGGCTCGGCGTTTCTGCGAGGGTCTCACGTTCCAACCGGGCCCGGCGCGGGGCGGCACGGCATTCCTTCCGGGCTGCTGGGGAGGCGCCTCGACGTTCCATCTGGAGAGCCTCGACGTTCCGCCCGAGCCCGGAGCGGGCGACTCGGCCCTAGGACTGAGAGGCCGCCCGACGACGCGGATGCGGAGCCTGCTCGCCCAAGATCAAAGCCACCGGTGCTCTCTTTGTGTCCGCTCGGGATTCGCCGCCTTCGGGCTGTCCATGGAAACCTAAACTGCTGGAACCTGAAGCATAGAACCTCTCTTTGGCTTCTTGCTTTTTTTGGAGGGGAGGGTGGCCACTCCGACCTGGATTTACCGTTCTTGGCCCCCTTAAGCCCCCCCGTGCGGGGGGCGGCTGTGATCGCTCTGGCGGTTGGAGGTCGGGGAGCGGCCCGGGCTCTGGCCATGTTCTCGGATGAGGATTTCTGGATCGCCCTGTGAAGAGGTGAGTGAAGTCCGCCCGGCCAAGGCCCAGAAAGGGTTGGACTGGGGGCATAGCCAGATGGACTATCTTGGCCACAGCTAGCCTTTAGGTTGGAGAAAGGGGTGCCAGGGTTGAGGAGGGTTCTTTTGGCAGGGTCTGTCAGGGGAACATGAGCCAGTGGCTTGGGCAGAACTGAGGCCTGGTGTCTTGGGGTGTGCCTCTTTAAAGACTGGGGGTTCAGGGAACCACGGGAGTTTGGGAACCTAGCCAGATCGCCTCTCTGCCTGTTTATTTTTGTGTTGGGGGGAGCTCTACTAAAGTAGGACCCAGGCCCTGATGCCAGCACCAATCCTCGTCGGCTGTTTCTCCGTCAGGGTTCCTTGTGGGCCTTGGGAACAGAACAACTTGGGAGGGTGGGTAGGGTGCCACTGCCAGGTCAGACGTACTGCCAGGTTGGACTTTAAGGTTGTTCTTGCCCATCAGGGCACCCAGAGCTGTCTCAGGGAGACTCAAGGAACCCTCGATCCTTCACCAGGCCTTATTTCACTGTGGGCAGGGAAGATGTGAAAACTAACTAATGTGATTAAGGGGGTGGCTGGGGACAGCTCTGGCCTTGCTGTTCCACTTCAAACTACCCCTGCCTGGCAAAGTGACCGCAGAGAGGCCTAGTGCTGTTTTAGCCTGCTTTGCCTCCCCTCCTCTCGGGATGGACGTAATCTCCAGGGGATTATAGAGGAGGCAGTTGAGATTTGCTCCCTGTGAATGTGGGCTGCAAAAAATGGCTTTTGTCTCCCACTTTTTCTAGGCCTGGTGTGGTGAGCAAGTTGTCCATAAGTCCTTGGCCAATCCTGCAGGCCCTTCCTGACCTCTCCAACCCTATTTGATCAGGAAATGTTAACTGGCCCTCTGATCCTGTTGTAACCCTACAGAGTAGGGTAGCCGGTACCTCTTTGGAGGAAAAACAACCTGATCAGAGTTGTTTCTGCAGAAGCTAGCGTTTCCAGCCCTGGCTGGAGGTGTTGGGGAGAAGGGGTGTGCATGTGAATGTACGAAGGGTGCAGCATGAGCCTCATGCCTGGGCCCTGAGCTGGGACAGCCCCTCTCACAGCTGTCATGCTGCCCAGCAGGGATTTGGCTGGTGTGTTTTGCTCCCTCACTCCACCCCCTGCAACATACATACATGAGTTAGATCTCTTTGAGCCTTGTCTTGGAAAGGAGGAGAATAGGGGGCTTTGCCCTTGAAAGATTTCTGAGTAGTAACCTCAAGGTGTAAGGTAGCACAGGGGTGGCAGAGTGTGGCTAGCTGTCACCCATGCTCCTCTTCTGGGTGTTGTTTGTCCCCAAAGAATTTCCTTAGGAGGAGTCTCTCATTGTTAGTTGTGGTTTACCCCAGGATGATTGGGCACAGTCGGGAGGGTCTACAGGGCCAGTGTGTTGCCATTTGGATTCTTCCTGGAGGGCCAGCCCAAAATGGGGTGTGGTTTGATTCTCAGGTTGGGAACCAGGAAGTCCTGAGTCCTACAGAAGAGCTGTTCACTCAAGAGCCTCCTTCAGCCTTTCACCTCTCCAAGCCTCCATTTCCCCTGTGGCTGGGAAAATGGAGTTAAAGCTTTTGGTCTGGCATAGAGGCATGGAGGAGAGTGTGCTACCCTGCCTTCTTCCTTGCTGTTTTGGGCTTCTTAGGCCTAGGACTAAGGGGAGCCAGCACAGTTTTACTCCCTAGATCTGTACTTGGGGATCTCTAGTTCCCCAGAGGAAGCCTGGCCAGGCATTAGTCCAGTTTAGAACTAGGGAAAAAAAACCCCTTGGTGCGTGTGTGTATGTGTGTGTGTGTGGGGGGGGGGTTCCTGGCTGTGAATGATGGGACAGGGAACCTGTGGTCTTTATTTGTTTAGATCTGTTTAGGGGCCTGACAGCTGAGACTCAGCATTGGGGTTCAGTGCTAGGTTGCAGGGGTAAGGAAATGGGGCTCAGGCTTCTTGGAGGTGCCCCTAGATTCTTTTTGGTACAGCTTGGAGGACATTCTTTTCACTTCTTGATCTCTCATCTTCCATGACTCCATGAGTGAGGCTCTAACTTTGGAGGATGTTGGTACTCTGTCTCCTAAGGCTGGATAAATGTGGTGTCTTACCTCCTGGAGCTTACCAGTTTGAGAGGGCTGTGCTCAGGGAGGGCAGAGGAATTTGTCCCTCTGGCCTTGTGTGAGGCAGTCCTCCTCCTACCCACTGTATTATCACTGTTGCTTTTTGTTTTTTGCTGTTTGCGATTCCCTTGGCCTCAACTTTGGGAGCAGAGCAGGTGGCGGATCTTTGGGGGCATACAATAAGATGCACACATTGGAAAACTTTGAAGCCTTCTGGGTGTGGTCAAACCTTGAATGACTGAATAGGAAGAGGAGCCTGGCTGGTGCCCTGACCTCCAGCTCCTGCTTCCCATAGGTGGCTTCTAAGGGCCCCTTGAAGTTCCAAAGCAGCTTTTCTGTGGGCCGGCCAGATGACCACTCTGCTTTCCTTTCAGGTGTGATTGTATGGTAGATTTTGGAAAGAGGTGATCTGGGAATGGAGGTAACAGGTGTCAAGTGATACTTCACTTTCCTAAACTAGTAGATTCTGATAGTGTGTGTGTGGAGGGGAGTAAAATAAAATTTCCTTTCCCATGGCATGTCACAAGAGGCTCATTACCAATCTCTGAAAATGGAATGTGAGTTCAGGGAAGGAGGACTAATATTGTGGTTCTTAAGTAATTGATTTATTGATCCTGGGCACCTTTGAGGGCTCCCCCTGTCTCATCTGCCCCAGTCACTCAGCCCCAAGTGGCTGACAGGGTTATTTGGTAGCTGGTTTGAGAAGGGGGGCTTGTCCTTGCTCAGGTCCCTTCAGTTAAACAAAAAGAGTGAGAAAGGTGAGAGATAAACTTCTCAAATCTTACTCAGACTTCTGTTTCAGACATTTTCCCCACCTCCTCTTCTCTAGGAACACTGTACTTCTCTTTCTTTGCTTAAGTCCCTACCTTTCCCACTAAGAGCTGACACCTATTCCTTTCCCTTTTCTGTAGGATCTCTTTTCTCTTCCTCGCCTCTATAATTTTTCTTATTCTTTACTTCTTTCTTCTTTGGACTATGCTTAGTTGCCTCTGAGGTTTAGAAAATATGCCCAAAGGTATGGATCTCAACCATCTTAGGTATTACTTTAGTGTGTTAACATTTGGCTCTAGTATAGGCAGGCGTATTTTAGAAGAGGAGACCGTTACCCCCCACCCCCATAGTTCGTGTGGAAACCCTGTTTGACGGAAGAGGAAGGAAGCTCTTCTGCTGGGCTGTGTCCTGCCCTGTTTAGAACTCCTCCAAGTGGCAGTGTGCTTCCTGAGACTACAACTCCCAGCATGCTGAGCTTCAGGCCTGACTACACATGCTCAGTAACTCTTAAGGCCCACTTCTGTTAACTACTAGGGATATCTGAGGAGGAAGGGCAGTTGGTGTTGCTAAGGGTGACGACCTGAGGCCTTCAGGCTGGGTGAGATCCTGAGATCAGTCACTGCAGTGGCCAGGGAGTTGGGCCTGAGCTGGATTTGGATAGGCATGGGTAGAAATTGGGGAGTTTCTCATGCTGTGATTGGGATATCATGGTTAGAAAGAGTGGAGGTTGGGAAGATCCATCCATACCTGGGCTTTAGTTTTAATAATGTGTTCTACATCCTCCAAGACCCCAGACTCCACCTCTGGGAGAGGAATTTCAGCTGTACTCAGACTTCCTGGGTTATGGTCACGCATGGGGTGGCACTGACAGACCTCTAGGATGGTAGCTGACCTGAGACCTGAGGAAAAAGGACAAGGATAGGGCCCATCAGAGGCCCAGAACTCAGACGTGAGGCAAAGGGCACTACTAGATGTAGACTGGATGTTCTTCTAGTTGGGTGCTGTTGCCCTGGGAACTCTTAGACGGGAGTAAAGAAGTGGGAGAAGGGAGGAGATCCTCTGAAAACCCGAGTTGGAGAAAAGGGTCTGTGTTTATCAGGGGAGGAAGTAGGCAATAAGATAAAGGTTAGTACTTTAGGTTTGGTACTAAAGGTTTTTTTTGTCTTTAGTACTGAAGTACATATATATGGCTTTGTTCTGATTTCTGTAGGGTCTAGATACCATTAGCTGCTTTTCTCCTAGGGTTCTGGGGAAGGTGTTTAGTGGAGAGACTTACTGGTCACATAGATATATTTTTTGGCTCTGACAGGTCTCCCCGAGAGGGCCCTGCCCAGTCGGAGAGAGGGATGGACAGCCAGAAGCCGCCTGGTGAGGATAAAGATTCAGAACCGGCAGGTGAGCAGGGCAAATTCTGGGTTTGCTGGCAGCTTTCTGCTGATCTCAGGCAACCTGAGATTTCTGGTCCTGGCATAAGCACAGGAGCTAAGTCTGTCTAATAGACAGGTAATTGAAGGACTTTGTTCTTCGGGACAAAAGTCAAAACGCCATCACTGTGATCTACCAAAGGTTTTAGATAATCTCATGGGTCTGATGAGTGGGTTAGTATTAAATAATGGATAATGGCTGATCAGTGCTTCTCTGTTTGTTCATTCAGCTGATGGACTTGCAGCCTCTGAGGAGTCAGGTGCCACTGAGGCAGACCTTCCCAACCCACATGTGGCGGAGGTCTCTGTGCCCAGTTCTGGGGGTCCCAGGCTTCAGGAGCCTCCCCAGGACTGCAGGTAACTAGTTTGGGGAAATGAGGATATAAGGGCATGTGAGTATTTGATTTGAGAGTCTGGGACTTTCAAGAAGGAATATTTAGGGACATTCAGTATGTGGGAAGCACAGGTGTGTTAAGTCATGGGGTTGTCAGGGGTGCCTGTGGGGTTGTCAGGGATCTGGCATGGTGCTGACGCTTGTGTGTCCACAGTGGGGGTCCAGTGCGGCGTTGTGCTCTCTGTAACTGCGGGGAGCCCAGTCTGCATGGGCAGCGGGAGCTGCGGCGCTTTGAGTTGCCATTTGACTGGCCCCGGTGTCCAGTGGTGTCCCCTGGGGGGAACCCAGGGCCCAATGAGGCAGCACAGCCCAGTGAGGATCTATCACAGATTGGTTTTCCTGAGGGCCTGACACCTGCCCACCTAGGAGAACCTGGAGGTAAGTGAGGGGAAGTGGGGTAACTGATCTGGGCAGGAAAGAGGGTAGGGGCTAGGTGGTCCAGAGCCAGCGGCCATCTTTTAATTAATTCTTTCTGTTTGCCTTTTTTCACCTATACAGGGTCCTGCTGGGCTCATCATTGGTGTGCTGCGTGGTCGGCTGGTGTATGGGGGCAGGAGGGCCCAGAACTATGTGGTGTGGACAAGGCCATCTTCTCAGGGATCTCACAGGTGGGGCTGGGGCCAGGGGTTACATAGGCAAAGGGCAGGGTGGGCAGGGCTGGTGGGGTCCAAGAGTCAGGGTAGAATGAGGATAGTGGGCATACTGAGGCAGACATAGTGGCTGACCTGTTGCTTTGGGGTGAGCTGGCTGGCACTGAGGCTTTGTCTTCACCTTGGCAGCGCTGCTCCCACTGCACCAGGTTTGGTGCCTCCATCCCTTGCCGCTCTCCTGGATGTCCACGGCTTTACCACTTCCCCTGTGCGACTGCCAGCGGTTCCTTCTTATCCATGAAAACACTGCAGCTGCTATGCCCGGAGCACAGAGAGGGTGCCGCACATCTGGGTGAGAAGTCCTGCCCTTCGGATATTGGGCACACGAGGGGCCAAGTGTGCCTGGGGTTTTGTACTCTGCAGAGCATTTGTCGAAGTCTGTAATTTTGTACTGTCTGTTGGCCTCACTAAAATAGGTGTGAACTTTGAGAGTGCAGGGGCTTTGCCTGTCTTGTTAGCATGGTGTCTGCAGTGCCTCGAACAATGCCTAGCATATATTAGGGAGACACTTAGTAACTATTTATTTGTTCATTTTAGTCCATGGAATGCCTGTTATGTAGACAGCACTGTGCTGAGTCCTGCAGGGAATCCATAGCTGACCTGTGTTCTCTGTCCCTTCTAACTGCAGAGGAAGCTCGTTGTGCAGTGTGTGAGGGGCCAGGGGAATTGTGTGACCTGTTCTTCTGTACTAGCTGTGGGCATCACTATCATGGGGCTTGCCTGGACACTGCTCTGACTGCCCGCAAGCGTGCTGGCTGGCAGTGCCCTGAATGCAAAGTGTGCCAAGCCTGCAGGTAAGCATGGGAGGGTAGGAGGGAAACCTTGGACAAAGCACAGTTTAGGATTAAAAACAAGGGCAGGGAGGGCCCTGTTATATGCCCTGTTTCTGCAGGAAACCTGGGAATGACTCTAAGATGTTGGTCTGTGAGACATGTGACAAAGGATACCATACCTTCTGCCTAAAACCACCTATGGAGGAACTGCCTGCTCACTCCTGGAAGTGTAAGGTGAGGGTCCTTGATTCTGTCTTACTCTTCTAATTCTACCTTCTACAACATCTGGAGTTTCCCTGTTGTGACAAGTCCCATGTTTCCCTCCAGTCTCCGCTGTCTGACTAATGCCTGTTTTGCCTTCTCCCCTCTTTTAGGCATGCCGGGTATGCCGGGCCTGTGGGACAGGCTCAGCAGAGCTGAATCCTAACTCTGAGTGGTTTGAGAACTACTCACTCTGTTACCGCTGTCACAAAGCCCAGGGAGGACAGCCTATCAGTTCTGTTTCTGAGCAGCATCCTGCTGTCTGTTGCAGGTAGGTAGTGTTAACCAGAAGAGATTGGGCTGTGGGATCAGAAGTGCTGAGATTGTCAGGGGCCATGTTAAAGCAGGCTGCCTTTGAGAGGGGAGCCCTAAGGTGGGCAGTACAGTCGACAGCATTCATGCCTAGTCCCAGTGCACTCTCTAGGAGTTGATAGCTGATGAGAGCCACGGTGCCTGCTCCCCTGTACCCTCTGCAGATTCTCACCCCCAGAGCCTGGCGATCCCCCCACTGATGAGCCCGATGCTCTGTACGTTGCATGCCAAGGGCAGCCAAAGGGTGGGCACGTGACCTCTATGCAACCCAAGGAACCGGGGCCCCTGCAATGTGAAGCCAAACCACTAGGTGAGTAGGGTTTGAGGGTTCCTGAAAGTTCCCCTTGTGTCCCCTGGCAAGAGACAGTTTCTGCTCTGCCTCAGACCCTAAACTTTCTGTGGAGTGGAGTTGAGCTAGGTAGGAGCATAGTATGTTGTGTCTGCAGGGAGAACAGGGGCCCAACTTGAGCCCCATTTGGAGGCCCCCCTAAATGAGGAGATGCCACTGCTGCCCCCACCGGAGGAGTCACCCCTGTCCCCACCACCTGAGGAGTCACCCACATCCCCGCCGCCTGAGGCATCGCGTCTGTCCCCACCGCCTGAGGAATCACCCCTCTCTCCACCGCCTGAGGAGTCTCCTCTGTCTCCCCCACCTGAATCATCTTCACCTTTTTCTCCACTGGAGGAGTCGCCCTTTTCTCCACCAGAGGAGTCACCCCCGTCTCCTCCACTTGAGACACCCCTGTCCCCACCACCCGAAGCATCACCCCTGTCCCCACCATTTGAGGAGTCTCCCCTGTCACCCCCACCCGAGGAATTGCCCACTTCTCCACCACCTGAAGCATCTCGCCTGTCTCCACCACCTGAGGAGTCACCCATGTCCCCTCCACCTGAAGAGTCACCCATGTCTCCACCACCTGAGGCATCGCGTCTATTCCCACCATTTGAAGAATCACCCCTGTCCCCTCCACCAGAGGAGTCTCCCCTCTCCCCACCACCTGAGGCATCACGCCTTTCTCCACCACCTGAGGACTCACCCATGTCCCCACCACCTGAAGACTCACCTATGTCCCCCCCGCCTGAGGTATCACACCTATCCCTCTTGCCTGAGTTGTCACGCCTGTCCCCTCCACCTGAGGAGTCTCCCCTGTCCCCACCACCTGAGGAGTCTCCCACATCCCCTCCACCTGAGGCTTCGCGCCTATCCCCACCACCTGAGGATTCACCCACATCCCCACCACCTGAAGACTCACCTGCTTCCCCGCCACCGGGGGACCTGCTTGTGTCTGTACCACTGGAGGAGTCCCCCCCGTCGCCACTGCCTGAGAAGCCGCACCTGCCCCCTGCACCTGAGGAGCTGTGTGTGTCCCCCCAGCCTGAGGAGCCACATCTGTCCCCCCGGCCTGGGGAGCCGCGCTTGTCTCCTGCACCAGAGGAACTGCTTCTGTCACCCCGGCCTGAGGAGCTGTGCCTATCCCCTGCACCTGAGGAGTTGCACCTGTCCCCCCAGCCTGAGGAACCACACCTGTCTCCCATGTCTGAGGAGCCACAGCCATCTCTGGTGCCTGGGGAACCATGCCTGAACCCCCAGCCTGAGGAGCTACATGTGTCCCACCAGCCTGAGGAACCACACCTGTCCCCTCGACCTGAAGAGCCCCTTGAGGAGCCAGGCCTATGCTCTGCACGTGAGGAATTGCCCTTGTTCCTCCCACCTGGGGAACCACCCTTATCCCCCTTGCTTGGAGAGCCGGCCCTGTCTGAGCCTGGGGAACCACCTCTGTCCCTTCTGCCTGAGGAGCTGCCGTTGTCCCCATCTGGGGAACCATCCTTGTCACCTCAGCTGATGCCACCAGGTAAGGGGATGTTAGTATCCTCTTATTCTGGGGCAGTCTTAATTTCTTATGGCACGTCTAAGAGCCTCCCTTTTTCTCTTTCTTTCTAGATCCTCTTCCTCCTCCGCTCTCACCCATCATCACAGCTGTGGCCCCACCGGCCCTCTCTCCTTTGGGGGAGTTAGGGTACCCCTTTGGTGCCAAAGGGGACAGTGACCCTGAGTCGCCATTGGCTGCCCCCATCCTAGAGACACCCATTAGCCCTCCACCAGAAGCTAACTGCACCGACCCTGAGCCTGTGCCCCCTATGATCCTTCCCCCATCTCCAGGCTCCCCAATGGGGCTGGCCTCTCCCATCCTGATGGAGCCCCTTCCCCCTCGGTGTTCTCCACTCCTCCAGCATACCCTGCCTCCCCAGAACTCTCCTTCTTCCCAGTGCTCTCCTCCTGCTCTGCCATTGTCTATTCCCTCCCCACTGAGTCCCATGGAGAAGGCAGTGGAGGTCTCAGAGGAGGCTGAGCCACCTGAGATGGAGACTGAGAAAGTCTCTGAACCTGAGTGCCCAGCCTTGGAGCCCAGCCCTACTAGTCCTCTCCCCTCCCCCATGGAGAACCTTTCCTGCCCTGCACCCAGCCCTGCTCCAGCCCTGGATGACTTCTCTGGCCTGGGGGAAGACACAGCCCCTCTGGATGGGACTGACACTCCTGATTCCCAGCCAGAGGCTGGGCAGACCCCTGGCAGTTTGGCTAGTGAACTTAAAGGTTCCCCTGTGCTCCTGGACCCTGAGGAGCTGGCTCCTGTGACCCCTATGGAGGTCTATGGCCCAGAATGCAAGCAGACAGGGCAGGGCTCGCCCTGTGAAGAGCAAGAGGAGCCACGTGCACCAGTAGCCCCTACCCCACCCGCTCTCATCAAATCTGACATCGTTAATGAGATCTCCAATCTGAGCCAGGGCGATGCCAGTGCCAGTTTCCCTGGTTCAGAGCCCATGCTGGGCTCTCCTGACCCAGAGGGGGGTGGCTCCTTATCTATGGAGTTGGGGGTATCTACAGATGTTAGTCCAGCTCGAGATGAAGGCTCCCTTCGGCTCTGTACTGACTCTCTGCCAGAGACTGATGACTCGCTGTTGTGTGATACTGGGACAGCTGTCGGTGGAAGCAAAGCTGAGGGGGACAAGGGGAGGCGACGCAGCTCCCCAGCTCGTTCCCGCATTAAACAGGTAAGGGGCTATTTGGTCACTGGATGTGGTCGACTTCATGCTAACATCAGAGGTACAGTTCTTTGTCACTAGCTCCTTCCCATCTGGCTCATTGAATTCTAGACTCTCAGAGATCCTTTAGTCCATCCTCTTACTTTATTAAGGAGATTGTTGATACATAGAGTGGGAAGTGACTTGCCCAGCTTCATGGTTACTCAATGATAGAATCAGGACTAGAAACTCAGGTCTTTAACGCCAGTGTTTTTTGTCATTGTACCACTTGGTCACTTTTTCTGGGAAGAAGAACTTCCTACCTGTTGCTTTCTGAGAGCTAGCTTTTCCTCTGTCCTCCCTGGGACTCTTGGCCTTTATTACTTGTCATGCTCTGTCCATTAGTCTCTTCTCTTCTCTCCAAGCCTGTGAAGCTAACACACTAGCCCTCTACTTATCCCTGTAATCATCCACTTCCCTAATTCAGGGTCGCAGCAGTAGTTTCCCAGGAAGACGCCGGCCACGTGGAGGAGCACATGGAGGACGTGGGAGAGGACGGGCCCGGCTAAAATCAACCACTTCCTCCATTGAGACTCTGGTAGTAAGGAGAGGCCTCCCATTCCCCAAACATGCTTCAGCTGGTCCCTTCAAGATTAAACACCCTTTAATCCTGTCAGTCCCCTGCACGCTCACCTGCCTGCCTGCTAGCCTCGGGCCTGTCTGGCTCTGCTCCTTCTGTCCACTTGGCTCTCAGGCTTCTCTGAAATCTCTGCTGTTGGGCTGAGGCCCAGTTTGGGAGCTGGGGTGTTCTGCTTTTTAGTCTGGCTCCTGGCCTTCATTTAGCCAGGGGTTCACACCTCCTTCCCCCAACACCAAAGAGGAAAGCAGCTCAGTTGGGGCACGTTTAGCTGCCTCACTTTGCACAACTCTCTGCCTATAAGGTTGCTGATATCGATAGCTCTCCCAGCAAGGAGGAAGAAGACGATGATGACGACACCATGCAAAATACTGTGGTTCTCTTCTCCAATACAGACAAGTTTGTCCTAATGCAGGTACCATATGTGACAAATGTAGTCCCATTCTTATTAGTGGGACCTGGCAGACTGACGTTGGGTGTATGTATTTAGGTGGGCAAAGCAGATACAGGAAACTAAGGATCTCCTCCTCTACCCAGCTAATGAGAAAACAGTGAATCAGAATCACATTGTTCATTTGTTTGTTCCTCCATCAAATTTTTCTTGAGTGTCTCTGAGTTTGGCACTGAGCTAGGAGCTAGGGATATAGCAGTGAAAACGCAGGAATGGTTTCTGCCCTGTTGAAGCTTATAGTCTGGGGAGCTTGTGTATGTGCTCACCTGAATAATCTCAAAGCTGAAAGAACACTGGCACATATGTTACTCTCTAAGCCTGACCAATCTTTACCCGTCTACTCTTTACTTCTTAACTTACCCACACCAGGCAGTTTCAGTTCACACTATCTGATCAGATGAGCAAGGCATGCTGGGAAGGGGAAGGGTCCTGTGGTGGCTCGCAGTGTGCTGCCAGGGCCTTTGGTTCCCTGACTTCTTCCCTCAGATTAGAGTTGTAGTCAGTTGTCAGGACTGAGTGTGATGAGGAGACCTGGATGGACATTGGAATTTCTGTGTATTTCCCCAGGACATGTGTGTGGTATGTGGTAGCTTTGGCCGGGGAGCCGAGGGCCACCTCCTTGCCTGTTCCCAGTGTTCTCAGTGCTATCACCCGTACTGTGTCAACAGCAAGGTGAGTCCACAGCCCTACAGGCCTGAGGTGTGGAATGGGGTCACTTATTTCTTATTCTAGGCCCCACACTACTTAAAGGGGCCGTTGGTGATGGAAGTCATTCATCAGACTCATCTTGGGGGAAAAACACTTTGGAAATAGTGGTGGTTTTTATAGTTTCTGGGTGGTAGACCATGACTTGCTGGTATAACTCAGTCTGCCATACAAACTGTGAGAACTTTTCTAGTAGAAAACACGATAGAGTCTGGAGATAAAATGTAAAAGGAAAATCATAAGCAAAGGTCTACAAAGAGAAGACAGTGTTTTTGACCCAAGCACAATCAGTTGGTTTGGTGTTTTCATTAGTGTTAACTTAGAACTTGTCCAATGCTAACATTCCCCAACTTGCAGCAGAAGCAGGTTTTAAATGTTCAAGAAAAATGGGGGGAAATACAACCCAGTCTATCCACGAGTTTGTTGGGGACTTGACTAGCGAAAGATTGCTATTCCGTTCTCGTAATGAGGCAGTGACAAGGTGCGGCTGTTTTCTGAATGGCAGAGATCCCTGGGGGCCTAAGTTCAGAGTCACTACAGGGCGTGGCAAAAGTATGTTTAGAGTCATTTGTATGGAAAATAGTACAATAATCAAATAATACAAGAATAAACCGTTGGACGTACCCACATCTATAAGCCTACTTTTGCCTCACCCTGTATTTTGGGGGGTGAGAGTGTTCCGCACAGCCTCTCTGTGCTCAAATGGAGGTCTAGCCTGGGCACTGGGGTCCTCCAGCCCCATTCATATAAGTCTGCCCTTTCCTCTGCCTCATATCCTGAAAAATTGCCATCCTCCGCACCAGATCACCAAGGTGATGCTTCTAAAGGGCTGGCGTTGTGTGGAGTGCATCGTGTGTGAGGTGTGTGGCCAGGCCTCAGACCCCTCACGCCTGCTGCTCTGTGATGACTGTGACATTAGCTACCACACGTACTGCCTGGACCCCCCACTGCTCACCGTGCCCAAGGGCGGCTGGAAGTGCAAGTGGTAAGGAGACCCATGATCTTCAGAGGGGCCCTGGGCCTGAGATGTCAGAGTGGATGTGATGTTAAGTGCATGACAGGCTGGATTTAGAAGGCCATCTGGTTGTGTGGTTCTCAGCGAGCACACCACTGGATGCTTTGGGTAGGTTAGGGGCTGAGAACCTGTCTTTCTCCTCCCTCCAGGTGTGTGTCCTGTATGCAGTGTGGTGCCGCCTCCCCTGGCTTCCACTGTGAATGGCAAAACAGTTACACACACTGCGGACCTTGTGCCAGCCTGGTGACCTGTCCTATCTGTCATGCCCCGTATGTAGAAGAGGACCTACTGATCCAATGTCGCCACTGTGAACGGTGAGGGTGCCCCTTTCCCCTTGTTTGGCTTCTTCCCTTGTTTTCAGCTTTGCATTATCTGGGTTTGTCTCCTCATGTGTACCTTCTCCCAGGTGGATGCATGCCGGCTGTGAGAGCCTCTTCACGGAGGATGATGTAGAGCAGGCAGCTGATGAGGGCTTTGACTGTGTCTCCTGCCAGCCTTACGTGGTAAAGCCTGCTGGTGAGTGCCAGGTGCTGGGGATGGGGAGCAGGAGTCAGGCTGGGGTGTCTTGCTTTGAGACAGGGCCTCAGACTGCCTTGGTTTGTCCTTCTTGCCACAGCACCTGTTGCACCTCCAGAGTTGGTGCCCATGAAGGTGAAAGAGCCAGGTGAGTCACAGAACTCTGAGCGCCAAAGCCAGAGAGAGCTTACTGTCTAGTCTAGCTCCAACCCCCTAACTTTATCTCATTTGAAGAGAAAGAAACATTAGAGCCAGGGAGATTCAGTAGCCTGTCCAAGGTCACCCAGTAGGTTAGCGGCAAAGTTATGACTACAACCAAGGCCTCAGGTTTCCCCAGCAGAGTTCCTTCCACCAGGAAATATGGCCTCTGTGTTGCCAGGATGTCATCCCTAGAGAGCACTGGGCCCGTTCTGTTTCTCCAGGAAGGGGCTGGTGCCATCTCCTTTTCCATTATGATGTAGGCATTGCTCGTGGTATCTGGGATGCTCTGTGCTGGCATTCAGCACATAGGGGGCACTCCTAGCCCCAGATAGTTAGAGAATGTGTTTAGTGAACCTAGGGTTAATCATGAGCAAAGTCATTCATGTTTCTGCAGCAGCAGCCTCTTAGTCCCCGTGGGTCATTGATGGAGAATTGGGGCCTTAGCTAGCCCCCAGTGGTGGCCTGTCTTCTCCACCCCTCAAGCCCCAGGCTGGACTTTGGTCTGTCTCTTACTGCTTTGGTCCCAGAGGTGGACTTAGACTGAAGCTTGGAGTTCTGGTTCCCCTGGGGTCACATGGTCTTCCCCTTTACGCAGAGCCCCAGTACTTTCGCTTCGAGGGTGTGTGGCTGACAGAAACTGGCATGGCTGTCCTGCGTAACCTTACCATGTCACCCCTACACAAGCGGCGCCAGCGGCGAGGACGGCTTGGCCTCCCAGGCGAGGCTGGGCTGGAAGGTTCTGAGCCCTCAGATGCCCTCGGCCCTGATGACAAGAAGGATGGGGACCTGGACACCGATGAGCTGCTCAAGGGTGAAGGTTAGGCTGGAGAATATCAGGGAGTGACAGAGTAGTGGGAGCATGCCTGTAAGAGCTGGAGGTTGGATGGGAGCACACTCTTAGTCACTCTGAACCACTGTTGGTCTTGTTCGAATGGCTCTGGCAGAGCACTTGGCTCTCTGTTCTTGGGTGGCAGGACAACAAAGTTAAAGGGCCCATGCTTCTGCTCTGCCTCCATCTCTCTGCTTTGTTTGGATATGCAGCTGGTGTGGAGCACATGGAGTGCGAAATTAAACTGGAAGGCCCCGTCAGCCCTGATGTGGAGCCTGGCAAGGAGGAGACCGAGGAGAGCAAAAAACGCAAACGCAAACCCTATAGGCCTGGTGAGGCCCTGGGATGGGGAGTGGGGTGGGGAAGGGTTGGTTCACCCAGTCCCCAATGGCTTCTCAGCCTCAGCTCTGCCTCCTTGTAGGCATTGGTGGTTTCATGGTGCGACAGCGGAAATCCCACACACGTGTGAAAAAGGGGCCTGCTGCACAGGCGGAGGTGTTGAGTGGGGATGGGCAGCCCGACGAGGGTGAGACGGGTGAGGGCTCCTGCGGGGCCTGGGAGATGGTGGGGATCACAGGACCTACGGGGCAGTGCCAGGGAGGCCTGGGGGGATGGCTCACTCCAAGGGCTAAGAGGGTGGTGGGCCCAGTTGGTGTCGGGAGAGAGAGTAGGCAGAAAAACATGCTTAGGTCAAGTTGGGAGCAACATGGTCAGTGTCCCCAGAGAAGCCAACACCTCCCATTCTGTCCTTAGTGATGCCTGCTGACCTCCCAGCAGAGGGCTCTATAGACCAGAGCTTAGCTGATGTGGATGAGAAGAAGAAGCAGCAGAGGCGAGGGCGCAAGAAGAGCAAACTAGAAGACATGTTTCCTGCTTACCTGCAGGTGGGCCTTAGGCTCTGCAGGGTGCAGGACGGGGTGGGGCTGCCTGCCTTGCGGGACATGAAGAAACCCATTTCTCCCTGCCTTTCCCACAGGAGGCCTTCTTTGGGAAGGAGCTGCTCGATCTGAGCCGGAAAGCCCTTTTTGCAGTTGGAGTGGGCCGTCCAAGCTTTGCACTAGGAACCCCAAAAGTCAAGGGGGATGGAGGCTCAGATAGGAAGGAGCTCCCCACCTTACAGAAAGGTCAGTCGTGTGGGGGGCAGGTGCTCTGAAGGGACCCAACTTTCCTCTGTGCTCAGCAGCTGGCAAGGGAATTTGGTGGGGAGTGAGGTGGTCTCTAGGAAATGAGGGTAGGCCAAAGGCCCACGCCTGTTGAGCTGGGGACCCATTCTGAATGTCAGAGGTAGGGAATCTCTGATTGGAGTAGCAATTGTTGCTTATAGGAGATGATGGTGCAGAGGTTGCAGATGAAGAATCCCGTGGCCCTGAAGGCAAGGCTGATACACCAGGTGAGGGCTGTTGGGGGGACTTTGTCAGAGCTTGGTTTTGCCTCTGTCAACCTGTTCTGCCCCTGAGCACCATCAGGGTTGCAGACTGGAAACTGTTCCATGCCATGGTTTGGTTTGGTCCGTGTGGTACCTCCATGCTGGCCTTGACTCATGGGTTTCTCCTGGCCACTGCAGGTCCTGAGGATGGGGGCGTGAAGGCATCCCCAGTGCCCAGTGACCCCGAGAAACCAAGCACCCCTGGAGAAGGGATGCTTAGCTCTGACTTAGACAGGATACCCACAGAAGGTGAGGCTGTGATCTGCACTTTTCATTTATAACGGTCTTCCATGGGAGAAGGAGAAGGTCCTGCGTGTGGGACTCTGATCTGTACAGTGGGGAGTTCTGGGCAGCTTCCCCAGCCATGATTGTTTGTAGATGTGTGGTGCTCCTTCAAATCCCCAGTCTGCCTCAGCATCATCCTTCATCAATCCCCCACAGAGCTGCCCAAGATGGAATCCAAGGACTTGCAGCAGCTATTTAAGGATGTTCTGGGTTCTGAACGAGAGCAGCCTCTGGGTTGTGGAACCCCTGGCCTAGATGGCAGCCGTACACCGCTGCAGAGGCCCTTTCTTCAAGGTGATATGGGTGGTTTGAAGACTGGTGGGCAGGTATGGCCAAGCTTGCTCCCAGGATGGGCCTCCTGCTCCCTTTTTCTGATCCTGTGCCTCTTACAGGTGGACTCCCTTTGGGCAATCTCCCCTCCAGCAGCCCAATGGACTCCTACCCGGGCCTCTGCCAGTCCCCATTCTTGGATTCTAGGTTGGTATCTATGCTTAACCTTTGTGGGCTATCCCCATTGTCCCTTCCCTCCAGTTGGGCCCATGCCAAGGGAGGGAACCTCGGACTTCTGGGTGCTGCTGTACCAATACGTCCCCTTGCTCCTCTCCGCCATCTTGGTGGCCCTCCTCTGTCCAGGCAGGGCACTGGCCTGGTGCTTCTGGGCAGTTTGTCTGGGGTGGGATGTGGCATCCCTGCCCCCTGTGACTCTTTGCCCCTGCGCCCCAGGGAGCGCGGGGGCTTCTTTAGCCCGGAACCTGGTGAACCAGACAGCCCCTGGACAGGCTCAGGGGGCACTACGCCCTCCACCCCTACTACACCCACCACGGAGGGTGAGGGCGATGGGCTCTCCTATAACCAGCGGAGTCTTCAGCGCTGGGAGAAGGACGAGGAGTTGGGCCAACTCTCCACCATCTCACCTGTGCTCTATGCCAACATTAACTTTCCCAATCTCAAGCAAGATTACCCAGGTACCTGTGGAACAAGGGCATGGAAGACAACAACCGGTAACATGGTGGGTGCAGGGGACACCTGTCAAGTCTCCTAATGCAATGCCTCTGCCTTCCAGACTGGTCTAGCCGTTGCAAACAAATAATGAAGCTCTGGAGAAAAGTTCCAGCTGCTGACAAAGCCCCCTACCTGGTGAGACAGAAGGAAACCTGGATCAGCATGGGAACTGAGGGGGGAGCCTGTTTTGGGAGAAATTCACTTCAGTTCTTTCCCTTTCCCACTCCCGAAGCAGCTGGGCCAGAAGGGATCGGTTTTTGGGTAGGGAGTGTGAGTGATACGATGGATGGGGCCTGGGCATGAGACCGAGCCCTAGGTCTGAGGCTTTGTCTTCTGTCCTTCAGCAAAAGGCCAAAGATAACCGGGCAGCTCACCGCATCAACAAGGTGCAAAAGGTGAGTGGGGCCCCACTGGGCTGCATGCCGATGCCCGTGGCGGGTGGCCTCTTCGAGGGCGGGGTGTAGGGCCTGTGCACAACAGTCTGACTGCTCTGTGCCTGGTCTCCTCCCGCAGCAGGCGGAGAGCCAGATCAGCAAACAGACCAAGGTGGGCGACATGGCCCGTAAGACTGACCGACCGGCCCTACATCTCCGCATTCCCCCCCAGCCAGGGGCACTGGGCAGTCCGCCCCCTGCTGCGGCCCCCACCATTTTCATTGGCAGCCCCACTACCCCCGCCGGCTTGTCTACCTCTGCGGATGGGTTCCTGAAGCCGCCGGCGGGCACGGTGCCCGGCCCCGACTCGCCCGGTGAGCTGTTCCTCAAGCTCCCACCCCAGGTGCCTGCCCAAGTGCCTTCGCAGGACCCCTTTGGACTGGCCCCTGCCTACACTCTGGAGCCCCGCTTCCCCACGGCACCACCCACTTATCCTCCCTTTCCTAGTCCAACTGGGGCCCCCGTGCAGCCCCCAACGCTGGGTGCCTCATCTCGTCCTGGGACTGGCCAGCCAGGGGAATTCCACACCACCCCTCCCAGCACTCCCCGGCACCAGGCCTCGACACCCGATCCCTTTCTCAAACCCCGTTGCCCCTCACTGGACAACCTGGCCGTGCCTGAGAGCCCTGGGGTAGGGGGTGGCAAGGCTTCTGAGCCCCTGCTGTCACCCCCGCCTTTTGGGGAGTCTCGGAAAGCCCTGGAGGTGAAGAAGGAAGAGCTTGGGGCATCCTCTCCTAGCTATGTGGCCCCAAACCTGGGCTTTGTTGACTCACCCTCCTCAGGCCCCCACCTGGGCAGCCTGGAGTTAAAGGCACCTGATGTCTTCAAAGCCCCCCTGACCCCTCGGGCATCTCAGGTAGAGCCCCAGAGCCCGGGCTTGGGCCTAAGGCCTCAGGAGCCATCCCCTGCTCAGGCTTTGGCCCCTTCTCCCCCTAGCCACTCAGATATCTTTCGCCCTGGCTCCTACCCTGACCCTTATGCTCAGCCCCCATTGACCCCTCGGCCCCAACCCCCACCTCCTGAGAGCTGCTGTGCCCTACCCCCTCGATCACTGCCCTCTGACCCTTTCTCCCGAGTGCCTGCCAGTCCCCAGTCCCAGTCCAGCTCCCAGTCCCCATTGACACCCCGTCCTCTGTCTGCTGAGGCTTTCTGCCCATCCCCTGTGACCCCTCGCTTCCAGTCCCCTGACCCTTATTCCCGCCCACCCTCTCGCCCTCAGTCCCGTGACCCATTTGCCCCACTGCATAAGCCACCCCGACCCCAGCCCCCTGAAGTTGCCTTTAAGTCTGGGCCTCTAGCCCATACTCCACTGGGGGCTGGAGGCTTCCCAGCAGCCCTGCCCTCAGGGCCGGCAGGTGAGCTCCATGCCAAGGTCCCAAGTGGGCAGCCCTCCAATTTCGCCCGTTCCCCTGGGACGGGTGCATTTGTGGGCACCCCCTCTCCCATGCGTTTCACTTTCCCTCAGGCAGTAGGGGAGCCTTCTTCCCTAAAGCCGTCTGTCCCTCAGCCTGGTCTCCCTCCACCCCATGGGATCAACAGCCATTTTGGGCCTGGCCCTACTTTGGGCAAGCCTCAAAGCACAAACTACTCAGTAGCCACAGGAAACTTCCACCCATCGGGTAGCCCCCTGGGACCCAACACCGGGTCCACAGGAGAGGGCTATGGGCTGTCCCCGCTACGCCCCCCGTCAGTTCTACCACCACCCGCACCCGATGGATCCCTCTCCTATCCACCCCACGGAGCCTCACAGCGGGTTGGCATCACCTCTCCAGTCGATAAGCGAGAAGACCCAGGGGCTGGAATGGCCAGCTCTTTGGCGGCACCTGAACTTCCAGGTACCCAGGACCCAGGCATCTCCAGCCTCAGCCAGACAGAGCTGGAGAAGCAACGGCAGGTGAGTTGACATTGTGGAGCTGAGTCCCTACATCTCCATGGTCCCTGTGCTGTCCCTTCAATTGGAGTAGGACAGACTTAGCCCTCTTCTGTTCTCTGCACAGCGCCAGCGACTACGAGAGCTGCTGATTCGGCAGCAGATCCAGCGCAACACCCTGCGGCAAGAGAAGGAAACAGCTGCAGCAGCTGCAGGAGCAGTGGGGGCCCCAGGCAGCTGGGGTGCTGAGCCCAGCAGCCCTGCCTTTGAGCAGCTGAGTCGAGGCCAGACCCCCTTCACTGGGACCCAGGTAGATAGGGTGGCAAGGTATGATGGGCAAGAATACTGAAGGTGTATCCTTGCCTTCATCTGCCTTTTTCTCTCCTAGGATAAGAGCAGCCTTATAGGGCTGCCCCCAAACAAGCTGGGTGGCCCCATCCTAGGGCCAGGGGCTTTCCCCAGTGACGACCGACTCTCCCGGCCACCTCCACCAGCCACCCCTTCCTCTATGGATGTGAATAGCCGGTGAGGCTCCAGGGGGGTTGCTAGGAGTAAAAAGGGAACAGACTTCGTCACCTTTGTGTACTCTGATTTACCCATCTGTTCAATCCTTCTCCTGTCTCGTTTACTCTTTTTTTCTATTCCTTCCCCCTTGCCACATTAATTCTACCCTTTTCTACTGCCCTAGGCCCATGTTCTAGATCTTCTTTACCTTGATGTCATCTTACTGACTACTGTGTATTTTTCCAGGCAACTGGTGGGAGGCTCCCAAGCCTTCTATCAGCGAGCACCCTATCCTGGGTCCCTGCCCTTACAGCAGCAGCAGCAGCAACACCTGTGGCAGCAGCAGCAGCAGCAGCAAGCAGCAGCAGCAAACTCCATGAGACTTGCCATGTCTGCTCGCTTTCCATCAACTCCTGGGCCTGAACTTGGCCGCCAAGCCCTAGGTTCCCCCTTGGCAGGACTTCCCACCCGTCTGTCTGGCCCTGGTGAGCCAGTGCCTGGTCCAGCTGGCCCTGCCCAGTTCATTGAGTTGCGGCACAATGTACAGAAAGGACTGGGACCTGGGGGGACTCCGTTTCCTGGTCAGGGCCCCCCTCAGAGACCCCGTTTTTACCCTGTAAGTGAGGACTCCCACCGACTGGCTCCTGAAGGGCTTCGTGGTCTGGCGGTATCAGGCCTTCCCCCACAGAAACCCTCAGCTCCCACTGAACTGAACAATAGCCTCCATCCAGCAGCCCACACCAAGGCTCCCACCCTGCCCACTGGCCTGGAGCTTGTCAGCCGGCCCCCCTCGAACACTGAGCTTAGCCGCCCCCTTCCTCTGGCCTTGGAAGCTGGGAAGTTGCCCTGTGAGGACCCTGAGCTGGATGATGACTTTGATGCCCACAAGGCCCTAGAGGATGATGAGGAGCTTGCTCACTTGGGCCTGGGTGTGGATGTGGCCAAGGGAGATGATGAGCTGGGCACCCTGGAAAACCTGGAGACCAATGATCCCCACCTGGATGACCTGCTCAATGGGGATGAGTTTGACCTCCTGGCCTATACTGACCCTGAGTTGGACACTGGGGACAAAAAGGACATCTTCAATGAGCACCTGAGGCTGGTGGAGTCAGCCAATGAAAAGGCTGAACGAGAGGCCTTGTTGCAGGGGGTAGAGCCAGGGGTTCTGGGCCCAGAGGAGCGCCCTCCCCCTGCTGCTGATGCCTCTGAGCCCCGTCTGGCACCAGTGCTCCCTGAGGTGAAGCCTAAGGTGGAGGAGAGTGGGCGCCACCCTTCCCCTTGCCAGTTCACCATCACCACCCCCAAGGTGGAGCCAACATCTGCTACCACTTCCCTAGGCCTGGGGCTGAAGCCGGGGCAGAGTGTGATGGGCAGCCGGGACACACGGATGGGCACAGGACCCTTTTCCAGCAGTGGGCACACAGCTGAAAAGAGCCCCTTTGGAGCCACAGGAGGTCCACCAGCTCACCTGCTAACCGCTAGCCCACTGAGTGGCCCAGGAGGGTCCTCCCTGCTGGAAAAGTTTGAGATAGAGAGTGGGGCCCTGACCTTGCCCAGTGGCCATGCGGCATCTGGGGATGAGCTGGACAAGATGGAGAGCTCACTGGTAGCCAGCGAGTTACCCCTGCTCATTGAGGACCTGTTGGAGCATGAGAAGAAGGAGCTGCAGAAGAAGCAGCAGCTTTCAGCACAGCTGCAGCCTGCCCAGCAGCAGCAGCAACAGCAGCACTCTCTACTGTCCACACCAGGCCCTGCCCAGGCCATGTCCTTGCCGCATGAAGGCTCTTCCAGTTTGGCTGGGCCCCAGCAACAGCTTGCTCTGGGACTTGGAGGTTCCCGACAACCAGGCTTGGCCCAACCACTGATGCCCACCCAGCCACCAGCTCATGCCCTTCAGCAGCGCCTGGCCCCACCCATGGCCATGGTGTCCAACCAAGGGCATATGCTAAGTGGGCAGCATGGAGGGCAGGCAGCCTTGGTGCCCCAGCAGGGCCCACAGCCAGTGCTGGCACAGAAGCCTGTGGGTGGCATGCCACCCTCCATGTGCATGAAACCCCAGCAGTTGGCGATGCAGCAGCAGCTGGCTAACAGCTTCTTCCCAGATACAGGTAACCTCCGCTGGGGGAACTGGTTTAATAACTCAAGGGTGATCACTATCACCAACAAATGGATACTGAGACTGCAGACCTAAGATAATTCATAATTAAGGGAGATGGGACACAAAGGTTTGACTAGTTACCACACTAGTAGTGTAGGTGGAAGCACTGTAGCTTTTAAGAAGAGAGGAGCATTGCCTGGCAAGTAATAGACATTCAGATGTTTGAGTGAATGGATGGGATGAATGCGTGAAGCGTGATTAGCAAAGGCTTTGTAGCTATCGTGAGACTGGAAGATTAGGACTTGGATAGAAGTGGTACAAGAGAAAGTACTCCAGGTAGGTGAAAAGACTTGAGCACAGTTGACGCTGGAACAACAGGGACCTTATTGGTAGGAAAGCCAGTGAGAGGTATTTGGAGACTAGGTGAAATGGTTGGGCTGGAGTAGACTTTGTGTAGAGGGAAGTGAGTAGGTACTACCATAATTCTGGAGGGGTAAGAAAGGGGGCCAGATTGAAGATGACCTCAGATTATAATGGTGTTTATTGAGTAATTACTGGTTATAGTTAGTATGCCAAATGCTTTACATTTATTATCTAATCATAAACTCACTGAACAGGTACTGCTATTATCTTTGATTATAAAAAAGGAAACTGAGGCGTGGAGTTGAAAACTTGCCCAGTATCACACAACTGACAGCTAGAGTTTGAACCCTGATTCTCTGATCCTAACTGTATTACTGCCTCACAAGACCAGGGGAGGGAGTTTGGTTAGTCCTTTAAAAAGTGGGCAGTCAGTTAAGTTTTCTGAGTGGTGGAGGAATATACAATGTGCATGGTTTTAGAAAGATTGAAGTTTTTGGTGGTTGCTTATTTCTCCTTTTTCATTCAGCATCCTGGACAGGCAGGTGAGTGGGCTGCAGGTGGTCCATTTTGGTCCCATGACAGCCCTGGCCTCAAGGGCTTTGTCACAGGGCCTGCATCTTGGGTTCTGGGGCTGTACTAGTTGCTGTAAGAACAGTATTTTTGAAGAATGCTTTCTAAGTCATAACATGTACAGTTAATCCTTGAACATTGTGAAGTTAGAGGTGCTGACCCCCAGGTAATTATATCTACATGTACAAGGGAGGACCCCCAAAACGGAATTGTCTTTAGAGGACAGGTGCCCCAGGCTTCCCTCACTAGGTGAGCATTCTAGGAACCTGTCTATATCAGGGTACCAGGTGGCGTTATTGTGAGAGTCTGTGTTTGGCCTCAGTGAATTATTTTTTGAAGGCTCTTTGAATGCTTTAGCCCATTTCATGGTGGGTGATTTACAAGCGCACCTGCCTACACTGCACTGAGTGTTGAGCAGTTTTGACCAAAAGCAGCATGACCCCTGTGCCACACCCTCCCTATTCACCCTGTCTCTCCCTGAGCAACTTTGTTTTTTGTTTCCCTGGATGATAAAAGTCCTCAAAGGGAAACGTTTTGCCACGTGGAAGAGTTGAAACAAAAAATGGCAGCAGCACTAAAAGGTATCAGAATTGACGAGCTCAAAAAGTGTTTTGAGCAGAGGGGAAAAGTCTTGATAGGTATATTGCATCAAGTGGAGAGTACTTTGAAGGTGACTGAAGTTTAAATGTGAGAATAAATACACAATTTTTAATAAATAAATTCTGGGTATTTTTGGTTCCACCCCTCATAACTTTTAATTCCCCACAAAGTTTAACTGCTAATAGCCTACTGTTGGCCAGAAGCCTTACCTATTAACATAAACAGTCAATTCACACATATTCTGGAATGTACTCTTACAAAGAAAATGTTATTGAGAAAATCATAAAGAAAAAAAATATGTTTTCATTAGTTACTGAAAAAATCTGCATTTAATTGGACCTCTGGTTCAAACCCATGTTGTTCAAGGGTCAGCTTCACTTACTTTCTCGTCATATGTGATCTCAGCAGCTCCATGAGGTAGTAGGGAGTCATGATCTTTACCAAGTAAACGAGTAAACTGAGGCTCAAACAGGTGACATAACATTGATAGATTGGCTTAACAAATATTTACTAAGAACAAGTAAAAACAGGACTACATGTCCTGTGCGTAACAGACCTGAGTTACCAAGGCTGCCTGACTCCTAGTCCACTGGCCTTTCCATCATGCCATATGCCATACTTTTGCTTGGCTTCGTAGAGGTCAAGGTGTTGCAAGGAGTAGCAGGCATAGAATGGAGCATTGACCCATATGCCCAGCTCCCTTGGTCTTCCTCTCTCCAGACCTGGACAAATTTGCGGCAGAAGATATCATTGATCCCATTGCCAAGGCCAAGATGGTAGCTTTGAAAGGCATCAAGAAGGTAATGGCACAGGGCAGCATTGGAGTGGCACCTGGTATGAACAGGTAAGACTTCGATGGGAGTTGGCCCTTTCCTTTCTCTTTCCTGATCTCCATCCCTACTTTGCCACCTCTTTGCCTTTCAACTTTCCCCATTACCAACACATCCTCTTGTCTTGGCAAACTCTAGGCAGCAAGTGTCCTTGCTAGCCCAGAGGCTCTCAGGGGGTACTGGCAGCGATCTGCAGAACCATGTAGCAGCTGGGAGTGGCCAGGTAAGTGGTCAGATGGGAGTAAAAACTTGTGTCCCGTGCTTAAAGCTACCCTTCTTAGGGGCAGGTGTGGAACAATGACCTTTTAGCAGTCTCTGTCATTGCAGGAGCGGAATGCCAGTGATCCCTCCCAGGCTCGTCCCAATCCACCCACTTTTGCCCAGGGAGTGATCAGTGAGTATGGGGATGGGGTGGAGCCTACAAGAAAGCAGCTTGGGGTAGGCAAGGGAAGAGGAATTGAGATCACTGTTTGTAGGTCCTGACACCCAGCTTTCTTTTCTAGATGAGGCTGACCAGCGACAGTATGAGGAGTGGCTGTTCCATACTCAACAGCTCTTACAGATGCAGCTGAAGGTGCTAGAGGAGCAGATTGGTGTGCACCGCAAGTCCCGGAAAGCTCTGTGTGCCAAGCAGCGTACTGCCAAAAAGGCTGGCCGGGAGTTCCCAGAGGCTGATGCTGAGAAGCTCAAGCTCGTTACGGAGCAGCAGAGCAAGATCCAGAAACAGCTAGATCAGGTGGGGAAAGCAGGCTTCAGCCTAGTAACTAGGGGCCTGGAAGAGGGATGGCATGGGTGGGCTGGCTCAAAGCTGATGTCCCCAACCCCTGTCTGTTAGGTCCGGAAGCAGCAGAAGGAGCACACAAATCTCATGGCAGAATATCGGAATAAGCAACAGCAGCAGCAACAGCAGCAGCAGCAGCAGCAGCAACAGCAGCAGCAACAACACTCAGCCGTGCTGGCCCTTAGCCCTTCCCAGAGTCCTCGGCTACTCACCAAGCTCCCTGGTCAGCTGCTCCCTGGCCATGCGCTACAGCCACCACAGGGACCCCCTAGTGGGCAAGCTGCAGGTCTTCGCCTGCCCCCAGGGGGCATGGCACTGCCTGGACAGCCTGGTGGGCCCTTCCTTAACACGACCCTGGCCCAACAGCAACAACAGCAACATTCTGGCGGGGCTGGGCCCCTAGCGGGCCCCTCAGGGGGCTTTTTCCCTGGCAACCTTGCTCTTCGTGGCCTGGGAACTGATTCGAGGCTTTTGCAGGAAAGGCAGCTGCAGCTACAGCAGCAGCGCATGCAGCTTGCTCAGAAACTGCAACAGCAGCAGCAGCAGCAGCAGCACCTCCTAGGACAGGTGGCCATCCAGCAGCAACAGCAGCAGGGCCCAGGGGTACAGGCAAACCAGGCTCTGGGTGCCAAGCCTCAGGGGCTCCTGCCTTCCAGCAGCCATCAGGGCCTCTTGGTCCAGCAGTTGTCCCCTCAACCACCTCAGGGGCCCCAGGGCATGCTGGGCCCTGCCCAGGTGGCAGTGTTGCAGCAGCAGCAGCAGCAGCAGCACCCTGGAGCTTTGGGCCCCCAGGGTCCTCACAGACAGGTGCTTCTGACCCAGTCCCGGGTGCCGAATTCACCTCAGCTGGCACAGCAGAGTCAGGGCCCTATGGGACACCGGCTGGTCACAGCCCAGCAGCAGCAGCAGCACCAACAACAGGGATCCATGGCAGGGCTTTCTCATCTTCAGCAGGGTCTCTTGCCACATAGTGGGCAGCCCAAACTTAGCGGTCAGCCAATGGCCTTACAGCAACAGCAACTACAGCAGCAGCTACAGCAGCAGCAGCAGCAGCTACAACAGCAACAACAGCAGCTGCAGCAGCAGCAGCTACAACAGCAGCAGCAACATTTACAACAGCAGCAACAGCTACAACAGCAGCAGCAGCAACAGCTACAACAGCAGCAACAGCTACAACAGCAGCAGCAACAGCAGCAGATAGGCCTCTTAAACCCGAGTCGAACTTTACTGTCTCCTCAGCAACAGCAGCAACAGGTGACAGTTGGTCCTGGAATGCAAGCCAAGCCTCTGCAACACTTTTCTAGCCCTGGAGCCCTGGGCCCAACCCTCCTCCTAACAGGCAAGGAACAAAGCATTGTAGAGACTGCTCTTCCTCCAGAGGCCACTGAGGGGCCCTCCACACATCAGGGAGGGCCAGGAGCAATAGGGACTGTACCTGAGGCAGTGGCTGCTGAACCAGGGGAAGTAAAGCCTTCACTCTCTGGGGACTCACAACTCCTGCTTGTCCAGCCCCAACCCCAGCCCCAACCCAACTCTGTGCCTCTGCAGCCACCTCTGAGGCTCCCAGGACAGCAGCAACAGCAAGTTAACTTACTCCACACAACAGGTGTGGGAAACCAAGGGCAACCAAACAGTGGATCATCTTCAGAGGCCTCTTCTATGCCACACCTGCTGGCTCAATCCTCTGTTTCCTTAGGAGAGCAGCCTGGGCCCATGACTCAGAACCTTCTGGGCTCCCAACAGCCCCTTGGACTAGAGCGGCCCTTGCAGAATAATGCAGGGCCACAGTCTGCCAAACCAGGATCTGTCCCCCAATCTGGGCAGGGCCTGCCTGGGGCTGGAGTCATGCCCACAGTGGGTCAGCTTCGAGCACAGCTCCAAGGAGTTTTGGCTAAAAACCCACAGTTGCGGCACTTGAGTCCTCAGCAGCAGCAGCAGCTACAGGCACTCCTTATGCAGCGGCAGCTACAGCAGAGTCAGGCAGTACGCCAGACCCCACCCTATCAGGATCCTGGGACCCAGCCCTCTTCCCTCCAGGGCCTCCTAGGCCGTCAGCCCCAACTTGGGGGCTTCTCTGGATCACAGACAGGTCCCCTCCAGGAGTTAGGGGCAGGGCTTCGACCTCAGGGCCCACCCCGGCTCCCTGCCCCACAAGGAGCCTTATCAACTGGACCAGTCCTTGGTCCTGTCCATCCCACACCTCCACCATCCAGCCCACAAGAGCCAAAGAGACCTTCTTCACAATTACCATCTCCCAGCTCCCAGCTCCCCTCTGAGGCCCAGCTCCCTCCTACCCAACCAGGGACCCCAAAACCCCAGGGGCCACCCTTGGAGCTGCCTCCTGGGAGGGTCTCACCTGCTGCCGCCCAGCTTGCAGAGACCTTCTTTGGCAAGGGGCTGGGACCTTGGGATCCCCCAGAGAACCCAGCAGAAGCCCAGAAGCCGGAGCAGAGCAGCCTGGTACCTGGGCATCTGGAGCAGGTGAATGGGCAGGTGGTGCCAGAGCCATCCCATCTCAGCATCAAGCAAGAGCCTCGGGAAGAGCCGTGTGCCCTGGGAGCCCAGGTGGTGAAGAGGGAGGCCAACGGGGAACCAATAGGGGCACCAGGTACCAGCAACCACCTTCTGCTGGCAGGCCCCCGCTCAGAGGCTGGGCATCTGCTCTTGCAGAAGCTTCTACGGGCAAAGAATGTGCAACTCAGCACTGGGCGGGGGCCTGAGGGGCTGCGAGCGGAGATCAACGGGCACATTGACAGCAAGCTGGCTGGGCTGGAGCAGAAACTACAGGGTACCCCGAGCAATAAGGAGGTGAGTACTCTAGCTAGTGTGGAGCAGGTAGGGTGGGGCCTGGAACATGGGGCAGAGTGAGCAGCTCTTGGTCAAATAGAAGAGGTGAGGGCTCTGAGGAGGACAGCAGTCTTCACTGGGGCTTTATCTTGCTTAGGATACAGCAGCCAGGAAGCCTATGACACCGAAGCCCAAGCGGGTGCAGAAGGCAAGCGACAGGTTGGTGAGCTCCCGAAAGAAGCTGCGGAAGGAGGACGGGGTCAGGGCCAGCGAGGCCTTGCTGAAACAGCTAAAACAGGTGACCCACAGGAGCCAGTCCCCTGGTCCCAACCCAGGATGGGGGCACCCTGGCCCCCAGCTGTGCAGTGATAGAGATGTACATACTGCAGTTTTCCAACCTTGTCATCTTGCCCCTCCTAGGAGCTGTCCCTGCTGCCCCTAACGGAGCCTACCATCACTGCCAATTTTAGCCTCTTTGCTCCTTTCGGCAGTGGCTGCCCAATCAATGGGCAGTGCCAGCTGAAGGGGGCCTTTGGAAGTGGGGTGCTTCCCACTGGCCCTGACTACTATTCCCAGCTGCTTACCAAGGTCAGAAAATGGCAATATCTTTTGGGGATAATGAGGTCTTTGGGGAGGTAAGGGGTGGGGGTGGAAGACTTGAGGGAGTTGCTGATGTAGTGTGGGGCCTGGAGATTATGTCAGTCTCCCTATGCCTTCTTGCACACAACACCCCACCCCACCCCCAGAATAACCTGAGTAACCCGCCGACACCACCCTCGTCGCTGCCCCCCACCCCACCCCCATCGGTGCAGCAGAAGATGGTGAATGGTGTCACTCCATCCGAAGAGCTGGGGGAGCACCCCAAGGATACTGCCTCTGCTCGAGATACTGAAGGGACGCTGAAGGGTAAGTAAGGAGCAGAGTGGGCCTCTCCTCTAGGAGGTTATTAGTGGCTGGGGTGCGAGCCCATCATTGTGCCCTGTCCTACAGTGTGAGATAGGAATGGCTGCATGGCGCCATGTGTCCACACATGACAGGTACCTGAGATAGAAGGGGCCTCTTCAGGACTGATTTTTTGGGAACCAGGATGGGCATCTGGAATCTAGAGCCAAGGTAGCGAAGGAGGCGGATGAGAGGGACCATGTTAATGAAACTTTTGTTTATGACAAACTGCGTTAGTGGGTATGGAACTACTGTCAGACCTTGATACGAATCCTGGTTCCTGTGTTCATGTGACCTTATTACTGTAGCCCAGTAACTTGATTGACTTGTGTGAGCCCGAGTTTCCTCACTGTAGAATAGGTATTATAATACTCGCCTAAAGGACTTGTTAGATTTATTTTTTATGATTTTATTTATTTTTAGAGAGGGGGGATGGGAGGGAGAAAGTGGGGGGGAGAAACATCGATGTGCAAGAGAGAAACATCAGTCAGTTGCCTCTTACATACCCTCAGCTAGGGACCTGGCCAGCAACCCAGACATGTGCCCCAATTGGGAATCAAAACAGCAATGACCTTTTGGCTTACAGAATAGTGCCCAGCCCACTGAGCCACACCAGTCAGGGCAGGAGTTGTTGAAATAGTATACCAAAAGCCCAGGGCCTGGCACATTGGAAATGCTCAGATACAGTTCATCCGCTCCAAACTGGTAGATGGGTGGATGTGTAGACAGTGGTCGTGATAGCTAAGCTAAATCTTACTTACACTAGTTATGCCTGAAATGTGGTGGAGAAAACACCATCAGCTCTGGCCACCCTCAGCCTGACTTTTCTTCTCCCCACCTACCCCTCAGATGCTTCAGAGGTGAAGAGTCTAGACCTGCTGGCCGCCTTGCCTACACCCCCTCACAATCAGACTGAGGATGTCAGGTAGGGATTGGGCTGGAAATGGGGATGAGGAATGAGGATAGGGGATGGGTTGTATCATTTTTCCTTTGGCCAATGGCAGATTTTAAGTAAGGCTGCATATCTACTATCTCTACATTGGAGGTGGGTGGGTGGGGGGATGTTGAGGGTCTGCAGGGCTGTAGCAACAAATGTCTGCTTTTGGTCCACAGGATGGAGAGCGATGAGGACAGTGATTCTCCTGACAGCATTGTGCCAGCTTCATCCCCTGAGAGCATCCTGGGGGAGGAGGCACCTCGTTTCCCTCAGCTGGGCTCAGGCCGATGGGAGCAGGAAGACCGGGCTCTCTCCCCTGTCATCCCCATCATTCCTCGGGCCAGCATTCCAGGTAGGGGCTGCCCTGAACATGGACCAGGCTGGGCCGGGTTGTCAGAGCTGGGGCAGAGGGGCAGCTGGGGCTCACACAAGTCCCTCTTTCTCATTTAGTCTTCCCAGATACCAAACCTTATGGGGCCTTGGACCTGGAGGCCCCTGGGAAACTGCCTGCCACAACTTGGGAAAAGGGCAAAGGAAGTGAGGTGTCAGTCATGCTGACGGTCTCTGCTGCTGCAGCAAAGGTGTGTCCTGGGGGTGCCTCGGAGGCCTGGTGGATACCAATCAGAAGGCGGTCCCTGCAGCTAGTCTGGATAAATACAGTCATTCAGAACTGTGTACTGAGGGTCTGTTGTGTGTGAAATCCTGGGCGAGTGGCTGTGGGATTAGAGTATGTGGTGTGTGAGGAGTCCCTGCCTTCAGGAGGTTCACAGTCCTGTGGTAAAGACATAAGTCAACAAATAAGGAGAATATATAATGCGACCAGACAGCATGTCCCCGTCACATTCGGTGAAATTGTTGTTGTTTTTTTTCCTTAAATTTTAAGTATTTTGTTGTCAAAGAAAATGGGAAGTCCCAGTTAAAACAACAAAGCAAGGCTCCTTACTACCAGACCCCCTCAGTTTCTTTAATTTGCTAATGTGTAGCTGATCTCTCAGGTTGTGGGTACAGTGTGTATCATTTTCTAAACTTAGTTGCCACAGGCCCCTTTTTGTGGAGCTCCTCTTAATGCTCACAGCACTTTGGGCAAGACCACTATAAAGCAAGCACGAGAAGAGCTGGGCGGCACAGGGGCTGGACTGACCAGCCGCTTGGAGAGTTGTGTTCTAGGTGTCCTTGTCCCCACCAAGCTGGTGGTAGTGTTCCCTCTGCACACCCTGCCAACACAGCTCTTCCCCCCACCCCCTGGCAGAACCTGAATGGTGTGATGGTGGCCGTGGCAGAGCTGCTAAGCATGAAGATCCCCAACTCCTATGAGGTGCTGTTCCCAGAGAGCCCTGCCCGGGCAGGCATTGAGCCTAAGAAGGGGGAAGCTGAGGGCCCTGGTGAGTGTGGCAGGAGAACACCTCGGGACCTAAGGGGGATGATTCTGGCAGGAGACTCTAACCCTTCCTTCCTGCAGGTGGGAAGGAGAAGGGTCTGGGAGGCAAGAACCCAGAAGCTGGCCCTGACTGGCTGAAGCAGTTCGATGCAGTGTTGCCTGGCTATACTCTCAAGAGCCAGCTAGACATCTTGAGCCTCCTGAAACAGGTGGGTTTGGGAGAGAAAAGGGATTATGTCTGTGGGCAGGGCGGGGAAAGCAGAGAGAGTTTTGGGAGAGTGGGATCTTGGGGCGGGGGGGTAAGTGAGGGGCTGGCACTAACCATACAGGGCTTGTGCCCCTCTCCCATAGGAGAGCCCTGCCCCAGAGCCACCCACCCAACACAGCTACACCTACAATGTCTCTAACCTGGACGTTCGACAGCTCTCGGCCCCACCTCCTGAAGAACCCTCCCCTCCTCCATCCCCCTTGGCACCCTCTCCTGCCAGCCCGCCTGCTGAACCTCTAGTTGAACTCCCAGCTGAACCTTTAGTTGAGCTGCCAGTCCCCTCACCTCTGCCCCTGGCCTCATCCCCTGAATCTGCCCGGCCCAAGCCCCGAGCCCGGCCCCCTGAAGAAGGTGAAGATTCCCGACCCCCTCGGCTCAAGAAGTGGAAAGGAGTGCGCTGGAAGCGGCTGCGGCTGCTGCTGACCATCCAGAAGGGTGGTGGGCAGCAGGAGGATGAGCGGGAAGTGGCAGAGTTTATGGAACAGTTTGGCACGGCCCTGCGACCTGACAAGGTGCCTCGGGACATGCGGCGCTGCTGCTTCTGTCACGAGGAGGGTGATGGGGCCACCGATGGGCCCGCGCGCTTGCTGAACCTGGACCTGGACCTGTGGGTGCACCTGAACTGTGCACTGTGGTCCACGGAGGTCTATGAGACCCAGGGTGGGGCACTGATGAACGTGGAGGTGGCCCTGCACCGAGGACTACTAACCAAGTGCTCCTTGTGCCAGCGTACCGGTGCCACCAGCAGCTGCAATCGCATGCGTTGTCCCAATGTCTACCATTTTGCCTGCGCCATCCGCGCCAAGTGCATGTTCTTTAAGGACAAGACTATGCTGTGTCCAATGCATAAGATCAAAGGGCCCTGTGAGCAAGAGCTGAGCTCTTTTGCTGTCTTCCGACGGGTCTACATCGAGCGGGATGAGGTGAAGCAAATCGCTAGCATCATCCAGCGCGGAGAGCGCCTGCACATGTTCCGGGTGGGGGGCCTTGTGTTCCATGCCATTGGACAGCTGCTTCCTCACCAGATGGCCGACTTCCACAGTGCCACTGCTCTTTATCCCGTGGGCTACGAGGCCACACGCATCTACTGGAGCCTCCGCACCAACAACCGCCGCTGCTGCTATCGCTGTTCTATTGGTGAGAACAACGGACGGCCAGAGTTCGTAATCAAAGTTATCGAGCAGGGCCTGGAGGACCTGGTCTTCATCGACGCCTCTCCCCAGGGTGAGCACTGGGCTCTGGAAACACTAATGTGGGGTTGGGTGAGTTTCTCTCGGAACCACTTATACGAAGTTTTTTGACATTGGGCCTGCAGGGTCTTTGTGAGTGATCTTCCTTCCTCCACCTTGGGTAGGCAGAGGTCTCTTGAAGATCCCCAGAAAAAGTGTCTTAGCCTCTCTTACTCACCTTAAGTTCCCTTGTAATTGAAGAGATTTTGTCTGTCTAACTTCATTCTGGCTCCTTTTCCTTTCCTCAGTGGAACAAAAGGGTACAGTCCTGAGACCTTATCATCTGGCTCACCCAACCTGATCCTAACTGTGTGTTCCCTTTGGTTGCTTTTTTTCTGGACAATATTCTTTTGATCTTAGTTTTAGTGTTAATGATAAAAATAACACTAAGAGCAGTTACCTTTTAGCGAACATTTAGAAGTGTGCCACAAACTAAGCTAAGTGAGTTATATAGATTATTTTGTTCCCACAGCCCTCTGAGGTAAGTAGTAGTATTTTGCCCAGTTTATACATAAAGAACTGAATCTTAGAGAGATTTGAATATTTGGCTTAAGGTCCCATGGTGAATACTAGAACCTGAACCCAAGTCTTCCCAACGTCAAAGCATGCCTGTTCTGGCTCTCTGCAAGGCCCATGACCTATGCCAGGACTCCTGGACCTGATTCATGTTTCTGTGTCTCAAGGCATTCTGATGCCCCATGAGGTGGGAAGTGTGGCTTGTGGAGGGAGAGTGGGACTGAGAGGCCATGAGTGACAGGGAGGTGTGCAGGCTGCAGGAAACAACTGTAGCTCCAGATCAAGGTGAGGGCTGGGCTTACTGCACAGCAGTTCCCTCTAAGGTTTCCTCCCTTTCCTTGCCTTTTAGCTGTGTGGAATCGCATCATCGAGCCGGTGGCTGCCATGAGGAAAGAGGCCGACATGCTGCGGCTCTTCCCTGAGTACCTGAAAGGCGAGGAGCTCTTTGGGCTGACGGTGCACGCTGTGCTGCGCATAGCCGAATCAGTAAGGAGGGGCTGGGGGCCAATGGGCACTGAGAACTTCGGTCCTACCTCCAGAAGTGCTCAGGCTAAAGTGAGCATGACCTGTGCCCACAGCTGCCTGGAGTGGAGAGCTGTCAAAACTATTTATTCCGCTATGGACGCCACCCCCTAATGGAGCTGCCACTCATGATCAACCCTACCGGTTGTGCCCGATCAGAGCCTAAAATCCTCACACACTACAAACGGTGAGCTTGCAGGGCTGGGGCCAAGGGATGTGGGTGTGGGGGTTGGTGGGGACCCTCCGGCCATTTGAGGGTTTGAGATTACAGATTAGAACTCCTTTGTAGAAACTGGGGGTTTACTCTAGGCCTCCTGATTAGAGCAGATGCAGGCATTACTAGGGTATCCGTTTCCCTCTCCCCACAACCTGCTCAGGTTTCCTGGGTTGACCTGGGGTCTAAGACAGACTTACCTCGGGCATCCTGGGAGCGGCTGGTTCTAGGAGGTTCTGGGTAGGCAGTGGTAAGATTGTATGAAGTATATGAGGGAGCCAGTCACCTCCCTCCTCTCCTGTTTTGCTCCCAGGGGGCCTGTGATTCTCCCATGAGTGCTAGGGTCACCTTCCCTTTCCCAGGCTGAGTTGGTTTCAAAAGTAAATAATTAGAAATATAATAGAGAAATAATAAAACCTTAAATTTGTATAGCACTTTATACTTTTTTTTTCAAAGCGTTTTCACATCCATTATCTCATTTGATCCTCACAACAACCTTATGAGGTAGGTAGGGCAGGTGGTATGACCCCCATTGTACAGCTGAGAAAACCAAGACCCAGAAAGGCTAAGTGACTAAACAAAGGTCACAGCTGGGACCAGAGCCTTACGTGTTGACTTGTGGTTTCCTGTTGCTTCTGTGTACCACAGTAGCCTAACTTTGGTCCCTGGGTAGAGGGGAGGCAGAATTCACGGTAGCAGGGCTTTTGTGAAGGCCTTCAATCGTAGAGCATCAAGACTCTCCTGCAGGCAGCCCTAGTCTCTGATGCTCTACAACAGTGGTTTTCAAACTTTGTGCATTCCGGAAGGCCCTGAAACACGCAGATGAGTGGGCAGGACTTGGCCCTCCTTGTGTGTGACTCCCCCTTCCTCAAATTGAGTTCACCCGGAAGAGTTTCGTTTTCATCTAGGTTATGCATTGGAGTTCCAATAGCATTTTGTTAAGGAAAAAGAGATTTCTGTTAAATAAAAAAGTTAAAAAACGTTTGAAAACCACTGCTCTGGGATGGGGAAGACTTGGGCCGGTGCCCTGGGGTGGTGAAAAGGCACACTGCCGGGCAGCAGTCATTCCCCTGCACTGAGCCGTCCGCGCAAAGCCCAGTGTCACACGGAGGAGGGTGCGGTCTGAAGAAAGGGAAGGGTACCACCTTTCGGCTGCGAACTCAGAGCCAGTTTTAATTCAAGTCCAGTCCAATGTGGTAGACACAGCCCCGTTTTCAGGGCTTCTAGTATGTGCAAGAGGTAGGGCTCATATGTTTCAGCAAATGGTGAGCTTAAATTCCAGGCCTGGGCTGCTTGGGGAATTCCTCCCAGAGGAGCCTGGCCTTGAGTACAGTTTGACAGGAGGGTGGTAGAAGGCAGGGAGATGGGAGAGCGGGCTCAGTGTAGGGGAACTGGTGCCTCCCTTCCCTCCACTCCCCACCCCCCATCCTGGGCTCTCTGTGCCACCCAGAGTGTTGGAAGGGTCCCCATAGCTAGTTGTTGCCTCGCCAAAACCAAGACCCAGATGCCTCCACTTCATTCCCAAGGCAGCACATGCCCCTCACTTGGCATGCTGCACATCCCAGGGAGGAGGCGGGTGGTGTATGCTTGGTCCAAGGGAGAGCTGTCTTGTCATGCACTGTGTCACCTCCCAGGCCCCACACCCTGAACAGCACCAGCATGTCCAAGGCATATCAGAGCACCTTCACAGGCGAGACTAACACCCCATACAGCAAGCAGTTTGTGCACTCCAAGTCATCTCAGTACCGGCGGCTGCGCACTGAGTGGAAGAACAATGTGTATCTGGCTCGCTCCCGCATCCAGGGCCTGGGCCTCTATGCAGCCAAGGACCTAGAAAAGCACACAATGGTTATTGAGTACATTGGCACCATCATTCGCAATGAGGTGGCCAACCGGCGGGAGAAAATCTATGAGGAGCAGGTATGGGCTGACGGGGGCTGGTGAATGGTCTATGCTCACCCAAAGAGCAGGGGGCAGGATGGGGGCCGGGCAGCAGGAGGGAAACTGGGAGGAGGAGGTGAGAGGCAGGAGAAAGGGAAAATAAGAAACGGAGCCCATTCATTGCTTCAGTCTGCTACCTGATCCCACCACCACACCACGATCATTCTCTGATGCTCTTGCCCCTTCTGCATCTTTTGCCTTTTTAGAATCGAGGCATCTACATGTTCCGGATAAACAATGAGCATGTGATTGATGCTACGTTGACCGGAGGTCCTGCCAGGTAAGAGGAATTAGGAAGGATGGATTTACAGGTCCCTGGGGGTGATAGGCTGGGAGGAAGCCAACAAAGAACCAAAATCATCCCAACTCAGTCACCTGGCATCCCTGACTCTGTCCCACTGCCTAGGTACATTAATCATTCCTGTGCCCCTAACTGTGTGGCGGAAGTTGTAACATTTGACAAGGAGGATAAAATCATCATCATCTCCAGCCGGCGAATCCCCAAAGGAGAGGAGGTGAGAGGAAACATCCTGAGTGAGTGACAAAGCAGCTCTCTCTTCTCTACCATTCCCCAGAGCCAAGTTCTGCCTTCAAATTGGTCATCTCTGTCCTCTCCACTTCCTCTGGTGGGGCTGGTACTGATTCTGCCCTCTTCTCTTAACAGCTGACCTATGACTATCAGTTTGACTTTGAGGACGATCAGCACAAGATCCCCTGCCACTGTGGAGCCTGGAATTGTCGGAAATGGATGAACTAAAAAGCTTTGAGGCTACCAGGCAGGGGAGTCCCTCCACCCCCAACCTCTTCCCTGAAAGGGATGAGGGGGAAGAGAGGTAGCGGCCAGAGCCAGGACCCAGGGCTGGGGCTGCCGGCTGACCGGAGCCCCTGGAGCAGGAGGCTGGGGCAGAGGGCCCTAGGCCAAGCCCACCCTGGGCACCAGGGACAACCCTCTTCCCGCCACCGGCCCCCAGGCTGGCATCTCTGCCCCCAGCTCCAGGAGGGGCCAGACAGAAGCAGCCATTGGGCATCTCAGGTTTGAGGGGGATATGGGCCGGGAACTACCCAGAAGCATCTGGGCGGCAGCAGGGAGGGGGGAGGAGGATGTGTGGCCGGGCCTCACAGCCCTGCTGCTCCCACCGACCTCTCCGGCCCAACTCAAGGCTGCAAAGAGACTTGACTAAGCTTGACAATCCCAAAGGCCGGGTCCCACACCTGGCCCTGCCTGCCGGGTCCTGCCCCCACCCTCACCCCCATCCCCTCCCTCAATCTGTCTCTGTCTCCCTCTTCTCCTCTGTGTTTCTGTCTCTCTATGGGTTTTGTTTCCTTGTTTTCCACTCTGACAAATGCAACATGAACGGGAAAGAGGTGCCCAGCTGCCCAGGAGGGCAAGCCGGGCAAGCCGGGCAAGGAGACCCCGCACCCACACCTACCTCATTTAAGTGTTGGATTTTTTGCTGTTTTGAAATGTGAGACCCTCTCCAAGCCCCCTACTGCCCCAACCCTCTCCCCCACCTCACTGCCCTCTTCTGAGTGGGTGGAAGGGGGGTAGGAGGAGGAAGAAAAAACAACAACAAAAAATCCATCTTTGTTTTTAATTCTGGGCATGGGATGGCGGTTGAGGCTAATGATGATGAAGATTGGGGATGACTGGCCCCTAGTTGCTCTAGGACTTCCTTCTCCATCTGGACATGGGGGCGGGAGGGATGTGCTAAACCTAGGACCAGGATATCACCCTCCTGTTTTCCCAACCCCATCATAAGCCCATTTGCCCTCCAGCCCCTGGATGGGGCGGGTGGGTGGTAGGGTGAGGGCTATCCCTGAGTGGCATGCCCGTACCCAGTGAGGCAGGGTGTGGCCCGGAGCTCCCACTTTCCCTCAGTCACCAAACTGCTGCTGGTCTGGTGGGAAGGGGTGGTGATGTGGGGGTGGGGAGCTTAGTGTCAGCGCGGGGAGGGTGGGGGGTATTTATCTATTTATACATGGGATTGTACATAGTCTTGTGGGGCATGGGGGAGCCGGCTGGAGGTGAGAACCCTCCCCTCTCCCCCAATCCCCGGGGAGAGCAAATGTAAAACTACTAATTTTTGTGCTTTATATATTCTATATAAATATATCTATTTTCTTTTTACAAAACCAGTTTATAAATGGTAGGGGGGCGTGGGGCGGACACATGGAGCTCCCCTTGTGGGGGGGCCCCCTCCATTACCCAACCTACCGCCCTTTTCCTCACCCCCTCCTCCCCACCCCCTGGCTGTGACTGCTGTAAGGTGGGGGTATAGAGGCTGGGCAATTCCCACCCTATTGTATAGTTGGACTATGTTATAACGCACAAAAGTGAGCTGGCCCCAGGGGGAGCCAGAGGGTGATGGGTTCCCTGCCTCCCTTTCCTTTCCCTTTCTGCCCAAGCTTGTGCTGCAGTTGAACCTCTTCCTGGGATAGGGGTAGATCAGGGGGTGGGTGAGGCCCCAGACCCCTGTGTGGTAGGGAGCCATGGGGGTGAAGATGAAACTTATATGCAGTTCTCTCCTAGGGGCTGTGGGCAAAGGGCATTTTGTAATTAATATTTTCAAAAATCAAATGTCTGGAGTGTAAGAATGGGCTTGGTGGTTGGTGGTGGATGGGCGGGCCTGCTGGAGGGGGAGCATGGTCGCTGTTGTGATTTTAGGTTTGTTTTTGTTTTGTTTTTGAATTTGGGGGGTTGCGGATTGATGGGGGTAGGGAGATTTTTTTTTTTTTAAGCTGCTTCCTCAACTGTTTCAAGCTGCAAATGTTTAAGAGAATGACATCCCTCCACCCTCACAGAAACCACTGTAATTAAATCAGACAGTGGGGAGACTGGGCTGCTGCCCCCAAAGCCATTGGACGTTCTTTTCCAAGAGCAAAAGGTCTAGGCTACAGGGAGGGGGAGATTGGCTCCTGTAAGTCAGGCTCTGGTTGGGGCCTGGGCCCTGGGACTGGTAAAGGGGAGGGGGCAGACTTTGTAAGCATATGCTAGGTATCCAATAGTCCTGTAGAATTTAGTGAAGAAACCTTATACACTTTTTAATTTTTATATAAACTAACTCAGACCCAGGCTACAAGGTTGGAATTTTGGTTGTTGGTTTTTTGTTTTTTTTTAAGTACCCCGCCTGTATAATTGCATCAGAATTCCCGCCCCCGTCCCCGTGTTTGTATTTTGGGTTGGTTTACACTTGCACATACTCAATTTTCAGTTTTTCCCCTTTACAGTCTTCTCCCCTCACCTCCAGGACCCTCCCCCTTTTTAAAAAATAAATCGCTGACAAGTGTGAATCCCGTGAAGACTTTATTTTGTGTTGTGTGTATCCTGTACAGCAAGGTTGGTCCTTCGTAACAGCGGATGAAATGATTCCCCTTTTTAAAGCGCCCTCTCTCCCTCCACCCCCAGCGCCCCTGTCCTTGGCATGTTTTGTATCAGCGATCATTCTGAACTGTACATAATTTATGTTGCAAGAGGCAAAGGGCAAGTTTTGGATTTTGCTTCTTCCAAGTTTGTTTTTAAACGACAAATAAAAAAAGAACATTTTAAATAAAAAGCGGCTCCGTCCAGTCACCCTCGCCGTCAGCCCACACGTGAGGTCCGAGGGAAGGGCGGTTACCAGGCCACTTCGCGCCGGAAAAGCGAACTCCGCGCCTTCCGCCTTTGGCTGGCGTTTGTCCTGACGTAGGCGGAAGTGGCGTCGCGGCACCGGATGTGGGACGAGGCCTCCTCCGCTTTCCCGGCGAACTTCCTAAAGCGGACGCACCCAACGGGCGCCTCCCGCAATGGAGACGGTGAGAAGCGCGGGAGGGCGGCGGGGGGCGCTGTGGAGCCCGAGACCCCCGTTAGGACCTGGGAAGCCTGGGCAGGGGCAGGCGCTTATGCCCGGTAAACGAGAAGCTGGGTGTTCTGCCCTCGACCCTGCCCCTCTGCTCCTTTGTGGGGCTCACCTCCGGCGACTGGGCCGCGCTGTGCCTGCCTTCGGTCCCACGTACTGCCAGCCCCTGCGGGTAGTGACAAGTGATACCTAGCTCCCTTCTTGGGTCCCGCGCACACCCTGTCGATCTCGAGACTCCTTTCATCGTAGTACCGCAGGCGCCTCAGGTTGTGATTTGGCTTTCCTGGGATCCCCACTTGGCAGTTAGCACCTGGCCCCGGTTGTCTTAAGTGTGATCCCTGCAATCCCTGGCAGGAGGGACATCCGAAAGACTTGCATACTGCCTCAGGGTGTCCAGGGAGGTCCCATTCCCTTAATAAAACTGAAAAGTGGGGTTTCCCTGCAGGAGGGATCATTCAGTGGTAGAGGCTTCAGTGTCCCTGGGCAAGTTTTCGGTCATGCCCACCTCTGCGAATCTAACCAGGCATGTTGGCATAACTCGTTCTTGGCGAGCAGGCATTGACCATTGTGGCAGGTCCCTGTTATCCTTCCTGAGATGCTGCTGACCGCCTGCTCTATGGACCCACCCTCATTCTCAGGAGACTTCTAGCACTCTGGAACCCTTCTCATTCACTTCCCTCTCCAAGAGTTTTTAACCATATATCTATCCTCTGTCATGCAGAGTAATTCTTCCTGTCTTGGTTTTTATCTGCTACTGTAGTTTTTTGTACAGGCTGCAGGTTCACCTTTGGGTCAGTTACCTGCCTGGAGTAATTATTGTACTGCATTCTTTCTCTACCTGCAGAGAGGTAATGTCACTCAGATTATAAAGAAGAAAATAGACGAAAGTGATAAAGTGATTTGCAATTGGTCACCCAGGCAAGGGAGTCAGTTCGTACAGTTTAAGAGAATTTTGAGCAAGAGTAAAAGACCTGATTCCATAAATTCAAAGTGACACACCAGTTTTTACTCATAAATGTACCATGGTTTACAAAGTATTTTTTATGTAGCTTTTCTAATTTAACCCTCATACTTTATGTACTGGATTAGGTTCTTGGGATAGAAATTGTGTTGAAAAGAAGGAAAATGAAAACCCCTGTTTTGAAAATGTTCAGCCATGCCTTGGCCAGTATGTCTCAGTTGGTTGGAGCATTGTCCCATACACCAAAGGGCTGTGGGTTTGATTCCCAGTCAGGACACATACCTAGGTTGTGGGTTCAATCCCTAGTCAGGGCCTATTTGGGAGGCAACCTATCCATGTTTCTCACATCAATGTTTCTCTCTCAAATTAATATTTTTTTTTTCAAGAAAAGATAATAGCCTAATTGAAGTAAGGGTGAGGGTGTGCCAGTGACCGCTGTTGTTTAGACTGTAACAAATGCTCTTAACAAGATGCAAACAAAGGACTGTGGAAGCATAGGGGAGGGAGAAATTACTGCAAACACAAGAGAGAGCACTGCAGGTTAAGAAAACAGTGTGGGCAAGGGCATAAAAATTGGAGTGTGTAAAGATTAAATTGGGATGAACCAGTGGCTTAATGATGCTGGAGTTTCAGATTTTGGTCACAGTGGGAGAAGAGGCTGTGAAAGTAGGCTGAAGTCAGGTTGAAGATATTGCATACCTCGTTAAGTTTGATCCTTGTTTTGTAATAAAGGAACCCATGAAGATTTATGAGCAAGGCAGTGAGTGTGCTTTAAGAATGTTCTTACCAGCTTTCTGTAAATGGATGGATCTACTTCAGAAAGTAGTGAGTTCCTAGTTGCTGGAGATGAAAGTCCCTCCCAAACCTGAGATGCTTGGCAAAAGAACTTGATGACAGCATTTTAGAAGAATTAAAGAAGAGATAGATTGAGGGTGGGGAGACCAGTTTAGAGAATGTTGTTGAAGTGAAAGCCTACCTTAAAGCTGTGAAAGGGTACCTTAAAAAGCCTACCTTAAAGCTGTGAAAGGGTAAGCCTACCTTAAAGCTGTGAAAGGGTAAAGGAGAGAGACGGATTTGAGGCATTTCTGACATACCAGCTTAGCTGACAGATGTTAAGGACAAGTCAGGTCATGCCCTGCTCTGTAATTCTAGCAGACATATTGGCCCAGCTCATTCTTGGAGGAGTCAAGCCTGCAGTTCTTAAGCAGCTAGGAGGAGAGCAGTGCCAAAAAACAAATATGGGAACCACAGCCAGGATAGTAGGGTTGGAGGGACAGATGCTGCTTTGTCTTATACTGAAGCATTCAAGGAACCTGCAATACCTGTGGCTGTGTAGAAACGATTGAAAATGTGGATCAGGAGCTTGAAAGAAATTGTGTGTCTTAAGTGTCAGATCTAGCCTGAGTCTCTGTACTAATATTTTGAATTTATGTAGTACTGTGGTACTTTCTCAGGTCTCCTATGTTACTAAAAGTTAGAGGGGAGCCCTGGCCAGATGGCTTGGTTAGAATGTTGTCCCATACACCAAAAGATTAAAGGTTCAATGGCGCATATGGGAGGTGACCAATTGATGTCTCTCTCTCCCTCTCTCTCTCTCTCTCTCTCTCTCTCTCTCTCTCTCTCTCTCTCTCTCTCTCTCTCTCCCCCCCATCCCTCCCTCCTTCCCTCTCTCCTTTTCTCTCTCTCTAAAAGATCAATAACTTTATCCTTGGGCGAGGATTAAAAAAATAATAAAGAAAGAAAGAAAAGTAGAGGTGAATGGACATAATTACCCCCACCCCTGTGTGGAGAGATAGGCAAAAAGATAAAGTCATAATCAGTTGTGTCTGACTCTCTTCTGTAGGTATCTGCATAACTATTTAGCAGGAAGTCTCTTTTTTCTCTCTGTAACTTAGTCTTAGGTCTTTGTTCATATCAGTGTGCATCACTATCATTATCAATTTGAAAGTTAAAAAACAACAATATGCAAAACCCTGTGTTAGATGGTATGGAGGATGCAAAGAAGAGTAAGATAAATTTCAGGAAATTTATCATCCATTTGGATAGATAATAAACAAAATAACTGTATCACAGTGCTGTATGTACATAGTACGTGATGGATACAATAATGCCTACAAATAACTTTCTGAGTCTGTGTACATAGATCTTTGTGAGACTGTTGCATACCACGTGTGTATCTTTCCCACTGAGCAGCCAGCCCTCTCTTCCACTTGTAAGTGATGAGGCTGTTGTTCCGATAGCCATGCCAAAATGCCAGGCCAAGTTGATGATCTTATGCAGCCCAGAGAGGGAGATTATCCCCTCCCTCTGCCCCCGCCCTGGCCCATTGGGGCAGGGAAGTTTAGGGCTGCCCTGCCAACTTGACCCTGCTTACCAGCCACCTCCCAGGTTCAAGCCAAGGCCTTTAACTTCATCTCACTATAGCAGTTATGTAGGTGAAGTATGACTTTGTTAGTTTGGGCATAGTACCTAAAGCAAATAGAGCCAAACTGTTGATTCCAATGGATGAAAAGTATGACCCCTCCTGGGTTCTTAGATAACAATAAAATTTCCAAATGTTGCCACTTGAGGAAGCATGGAGATATTTCCAAAAGTTTCTCTGTATTAAAAGCACTGTCTAATCTCAGATTGTGACAGACAAGGAAACTTGGAAAGCCAGCCTCCCCTGGGCTGTGGCAGCTCTCCCTTCAGAAGGGCGCCGAGAGGACTCAGGTCCCTCATTTCAGAACATTGTGCTGCTCATCCATCCCTTAGTCATTCAAGCCTTAACTCTGACAGTCAGCTGTTGGACCTCTCCCCCAATGGTAGGACATGTGCCTGTGATTCCAGTGCCTACAGTTATGCTTAGTGAGTGTTTGGGGGAAAGCAGTGTTATCTCTGGCTTCTGTGATTTTATAAAGTAGACCAGTGAGAATCTTGTGGGGCCAGCCTTAAGTTCAGATTCTCTAGTTGCAGCTTTTAAGGCCTAAAGTTTCACTGAGCATGGCAGTGCATAAGGACATGAGCTTTGGAACCTCACAGATCTGTGTTCAAATCCCTATTCCACCCCTTTACCAGCCATGTGACCTTGAGCAAGTTGCTTGATATTTCTAGAGCCTCAGTTTCTTAATCTGTGAAAATAAGGCTAACAATAATATTTATCTTAGGGTTGTTATGAAGATTACATGAGATAATATAGCACTTTAAAGGAAGTTGTCATTTCACCAGCCCTTGTCCTAATGCTAGACTAAAAAGGGTAGAGCCTAGGATAAGCTAAATCTTTGTGTCTCTTGTCTCTCCAGGTCACTTCTTTGGATAGCTCCCCAGCTCTGGAAAATGAGCATCTTCAAGGTAAGTGTACTGAAGAAAGGAAACAGCATGAAAGCTATAGCCCGACCCTAATTTCAGCAGTTGCTCTTGAACCTCTCCCAGAGTTCCCCCTGGAAATATCAAAGCTGGGCTAGACAATGTTTAAAACCACACAAACCAGGAACAATAATTTGGCAGGGTCACCCAGGAATAAATCTTGGGCAGGGTAGGGATAGTCAATATCTTCAATATTCAAACCACCTGAGAGAAACTTTGGAGGTACAGGAAACTTCCACAGTCAACTCTAGGCTGGCTAATGAGGCTTTAGAAGTCCCTGGTATTTTATGAGTAGCCCAGAAGTAATGCCACTGGGATTTTGTTATCCAGCAGGCTCACTAAAGCCACTAAGTGTACATGAGAAATTATAGAAAGGCCACAAAAGCCCTTACAACTAATCTAGAAATAGAGG